AACCTTTTTACATGTGAAAGCGTAAAGTCTTTTATTATCTGTTACTGGAGAAAACTTAATACGAGCAACCTTAATAGGTTTAAAATAAACCTCCCTACTTTAATAACTTATTTTTATTCATAGTAATAAACATTTTAAAATAATAATTATAATCTACCTAAAATCGGATTACGACCTACTTAAAATAAAATAATTAATACATATTACAACCAATATAATGTGACCTTGGTGACTATATTGTTAACACAAAATCAAGAGCCATTTTGCTTGGTTAAAGCTGGTTTAAGATAAAAAGTTATAACTTATAAAATAATGCGCTAATAACAACATTATCGGTATTCGAGATGGCCGATGTCAGAGGGCATTGATTACATTACTCCGACTACAGGGCCGTACCACGCTGCTATGACGGCTGTGATCTCGCCGACAAACTTATACATAAAACAAACCAACAAACATATACATATGTGACACCTTGTTTTCTTAGAAGCAATTAAATAACAACATTCAGTAACATTAATATGATCTAATTCGTATCCATCCAAGCAAACAGGACTCGGGTGCGTTATGCGAGCGGTCAGTGACGTGAGCGCGTATATTATAATTAGTCGGAGCCGGTGTGAGTAATGGCGTCGGAAATAACGCGGTCGGCGGCGCCAAAGACGCGGCTATCATTGTACCGAGTCGTTCAAGACTCCTAGCGAGAGCCCAAGCCGCCGCGATGTCTCACGACTCGAGCTATTTATGACCGAACGGACGTCCAGCGACGGGGTTTGATTCTATTTACTCATTCCAATATAATATATACAACCTCTTCGTTAATAAACTCTTTTGTAAATACTTAATAGACAATTTATAAGACTGGCTGATTATTTAGAATATAATTTCCTATCATATTTCTTTGTACTAACTGAAACGTGAACCTGATGCAACCGAATCCACTGTGTGTAAACTACTACAAACGTGTTTGCAGTTTGTGCAAACCTACGTACGTGCGACTCTATATGGCTTCAATTCATAGCGTTAGAAAGTTATGTGAAAAAAAATATTACTGCGAGGTGAAAATGTATTTAATATATTAGAAGGTCTCGTTTATTAGAAACTGACAAATCAAATTATAACTTAGGTACTATGATGGAGGAAAAAACCTGTTACATAATATTTCAACGCCACGCATTCGTACGAACAGCAAATAAATAGGAAACCCAATCTCATATGCATTCGTAGAGGCTAATAGACGGTTATTTAATCACAGTCTTTGTCGGTTCTTAACAAATGACTAAAGGAATCTTGAATGGACAAACAAAGGCACCACGGTAACTATTTTCTGTTTACTCCAAGGAAACAAGTCACTCTAAGGACTTATCTAACGTAATAATACGCCATTGTCCTCTCAGGTACCTCGAATGCGAGAAGGTTTACTTCACATTCAACTCACTTGGCTTTACAACTTATAATTCATCCTTTATAATATCTAACGGAATTTTACGCGAGATTTAAAATATTAATGGACTATGGAGTAGCTTTTGTACGCTGGATCCTGTAAAGTCTGTTCGGACGGTGCGTGTTCATTCAGTTCTTATTTCGGTGACAGGAAAGAAGATTAGAAAAGTATTAATGGATATAGTTTTAAGGTAAACGGAAGTATATACTTAGTTATTATTATATATCTTAATGCATCGGCATTAGATCGATCACACCCTAGTATTCATTCAGAAATACATACAGTTTTACAACTTCCTCGACATGCCTATAATATTTTATATGATATATTTTATGTACCGCAACGGCGAACTGTCGTTCCGTGCCAAAAATATTTTTGACATCATCTCTGCCGAGTTTTATGATCCATAGCTCTCGTCCGGCTGCACGTCGTTAATATCAACCGAGCCATCTGCAGAGTGCAGCACGGAGAGACACATTTCGCAGGACTTATTATGTAAATAGCCAGCCGCTTATTTATTCGACCGGCGTACTACCAAGTACCAACCCTTTGATGTTAGGTCAGAGCTGAGACAAATATGTACACACGTCCATGTTATGGTAATTAACAGCTACATATTTGAAATACTTTACAAGTTTTCTTTGTTAAATACAATTACGTATTATAATCGTATCCTAACACGACCTAATTAATAAAAAACGAACGCCATCCATTTCATTCAGATTTAAATTTCGAAAACGTTTAACATAAATGAAAATAAATGATGTCTATCGCGATTTATATAGTGATTTAAAACCGGTGCAGGTAGCCGGCTGTCACTCGTTAGGTAGATTATATGCATTTAGAAGAAGAGAAAGTTTCCACGGAGCGGCGTCTCTTGTTTAAATTCATTTAATGTCTTAGTTCTTCATTTCGATCTGGTGCAATGACGCTGTTCAACAACGCGGCCGTTGTATTGCTTTATACATACATATATCTATACGTTTTGAAGACATCTAATACTGATTATTATATTAACTTATTATTATCTTCACATTCACATAATATAATATCGTTTCGATATATATTCCAAATTCTATACTATAACTATTTCCATCGAGTCTCAATCATAAATAAATTAATGACTCTGCAATGAACATAATTTTTTAATTAATCTTAAATGTACCAATGATCCTAAATCTATGACTGTTATTTTTCGATATACTTATATTCTAAATTCTATAGTATAAGTATATGAACGTAGTGTCAGTTATAAAGCGTCGTCGCGACTCGTCCAGACCGCGCGTCGCCACGCCGAGTTTCCTCAGTCCCCTCGCTCGTGGCTGGCTTCTATCTGTTAACTACACTACTTCTCATAAGTAATGTGAAGTAGTGTAGTCTATAGTAGTAGTGTAGTCATTGTCTCCGTGTCTCCTCTCAGCCACAGCCAGATGGTCTCGAGCCAGATTGGATTCGAATCTTTATGCGATGTTAACGAACGCGAAGGGACCGTGCAATTGTGCAATTGAGTTCGATTGGAACGCGCAATCAATATACAAAACAATTAATTATAATTGTTATCAATTGTTACTCGGATGATGCTATTACTAGCTACTTGTGTGTGACAATGCAATGTACAGATGCGTATTTACTATTGAGTAAAACTGAGCTATTAATTTCGATTTCATCAAAGCGTTTCTCAACTTGAAAATGCTCATGGTTCTTTATGAAAATAAAACTGATTGCTTTCAATGAAATGCATATTAAATATAACTCAAAATTAGGAGATTAATTCAAAAAATAACTAGTTAAAACTAGGCTTTAAACATCTAGTATTAAAGAGTAGTATATGCATAGATACTATCGTCGAACAAATTAGATTTATTTAGAACCAGGTCCTAAGATCAAGTTATTTTCTTTATTGACGCATGACATTACTTATATAAGACTCAAATGATGCCAAATTATTCGACAACATTCCTATATGTTGTCTGTATGTTCTTCCAAAACATTTTGAAATCAAACAATCAGAGGCATCGCCATAGTGATATTTGGTAATACATAATTATGTACTAATGAGCTCGCTACTTACGCCTTCATAACATTGTTGTGAGCTTGTCAGATATCATTTTCCATTTGTGTGAATGCGTCATCTGTTGAGTGTACGTCAAACGGAATGACGGCCAATAGTTAATGTCAAATATAAGACGTTTTTTAGTGATTACAATGCTTTAAATCATTTGCTCACGAGTCACAATAACTCCATGCGACGCTTTAAAGGTTGCCACAATGATAGCGTTAGTGCTCTTTGTGTTATCTAGAGCGAACGAATGCATTTAACACATACGCATTTCATTAACAATTATATTGTAAACTAAAATTAAGCAAGCTTTTGTTCTTACACTTATATAAATTATACTGTTTATTATAAATGTAATCCCAATTAAGTTAACGAAATATTTGTTATGAAACTTACACATTCGAATGGTATCTTAATTTGATTAAAACAAAATACGAATGCGCAGACGAAACCGGGGTGGGCAGCTAGTGGGACTAGATCTTCTAGTAAATCTTAGTCATCAGAATGTATGTACTTAGTTGTTTACAACTTAACAATTTAGCTTTGTTATTATCGACCCTCTACTGAACCGAGGTGCTGTAAATAAATAATAACCTCAATGAAGAATAACAAAAATGTATCGTGAAAAGAACCGTTCTGGCAATGACTAATACTTTTAATGTGTTTTTCATAATATATGTTATTATATATCATTAATCAATATATATAGTTACATAGTTAGTTTTCTTTATAAATCACATCCATCTAGGTATCATAAATGTATGTCCAGTGGCCAGCGTGGCTACTATCACCCTTCATCTCACCTAGAAATTAGTTGGAAACAAGTTGGAACTTGTCTCATTTAATTACGTCATACTTATTCTTATTTCAAATTTATTAAAAATGGCGTCTTATGAAATTCTTCATATTTTTATTCAACTTTAAGTTATCATCAAGTACATTTTAATGGAAATTATCCTCATATAATATGCATTTATTGAGTATTTTATACTTTTATAGGTATATAACGTGACTTGCACTTTTATTTTAAGAGCTACATAAGTGCATCCAAAAAGTATATGATTTTGTAAGTAACAAAAGCGAGAGAATGAATGAACGTTGTACATAATGGGGATCAAAACAGGTAGGGGAGGGCGGTTGGCGTCGGCGCTACCTGCTCCAGGAGAGCGGGAGACACGCAACGCCGGCACACGAGCTAAAATACCGTTTAGTAAACAACTCTCTTTATTAATATAATAATAATCGATAATATTTATATCATTATACTCTGCATAAATGTAGGTACGCTTTATAAACCCCACATAAAAAAATACATTCTCATTCTTATACTATAATTATACACAAAAATAGACGGCCGTCTGGAAACGACGGCGTGATGCACTACGGCGACGTGTACGGTAAGGCACGGTGTGGAGCTACGCCCCGGGCGGCGCCGGGAGACGGCGGCGACTAGATCACAGGAGAACACGGGACACGGACACACGGACCCGCGGGCACTCATCTGAGAGGAGTGGAGAAGGACGGCGCGGGGCACCAGCGGGCCGCGGGGCACGCCGACAGGGAACACGCCGCCGCGCTCTGCACGGGCACGAAGGCCGACACGTGGAGCCCCTCCGACACCGGCAGGGACGCCAGGGACGGCCGCTTGTGGTGCTCGTCCTCCAGGAGGTACGGCCGGAACAGCTTGAACGGCTTGCGAGGCTGAGGAGGCTCCGGCACCGTCGGCGGCGGACAACACAACATGGGCACGGGCGGCGGGGACAGGCGGCGGACTGACAGGTCGATGGGCTCCGTGGACGGAGGCAGCACCGGCACGGGCGCCGCCAGCGGGGTAGGCGCTTGGACGGAGCTCGACACGGGAGGCACTTGGGTGACGGCGGGCGGAGGAGACGGCAGGCGGGCGCTCTCCGGAGAACCCACCGAGTACGGAGGAGGCGACGGAGCCGGCTGGGGCGCCCGCCGCAACAGGGCCGCGCGGAGAGCCGGCTCGGCCTGCAGCCACTTCTGGATCTGACGCCGGTGGATGCCGAACTTCCTCGCCGTGGCGCGCTGGTTGCCGCGGCACTGGGCGTCACGTCTGTACGCGTCCAGAACTTGTAATTTGAACTGCGGTGGGAAAATACGGCGGGATCCGGCGCGACCCTCCGAGCGGCGGTCGGCGGTCGCGGGCGAGGGCGCGGGGGCCGGGAGTGTGTGAGCGGTGGCCATGCTGAGAGACGTCTGCGCGGGCTGGCGGTCGGCGCCGAACTGACTGAGGAGTGTGGAGCGTGGCCCGCGACAGTCGCTGGCTGGCCGCGGATGTTGGCCGCGGCGCATACCGCTCCGACGTGAGCGACAACAACGCGTATGTCACGAGGACGGCGTTCAGATTGTAACACTTATATGTATATTCATATAACTCTTCACATTGTATAAAGTACTTATAGAAAGTATTTAAACCAAAGTAAGAGTTTTTCGAAAAAAAAATAGTATAAAATATTTTACATGAATCATTTCAATATCTCTCAAATGAAAGATTTACGATCATTGAATCATAAACATATCTGAAGGAAAAAAGTTAAGACAATGTAACTCTGTACATGAAATCGAATCTCATTGTCGAAACCAACTCTGCGTATTTTATTTAGTAAGCTAACTGTGTGTGAACACATCCTAAGGCACTAATCTCGCCTCATTCTCGGCGTGAAAAAATGCCGCAAGTGGGAGCCGATAGCACGTAGCGCCACTATCGCTATCCTATTTCTACGCACACGATACATACGGAGGGAACGGGACGGAGGACCCGCCCCGGCTCGTTCGCCGCCACATCCGTTTACGAAACAAGTTTAAATGCGACGTTGCCGATAAGAGCGCGCGGGCGGTTCACGAGGTTGTGGGACGCGAGGCAGGGGCGCGGGCGGACAGGAATGTGCACGGAGCGGCAACGGCGCGCTCCGCGGCAGACAGGGTGTCGCCAGCTCGGCGGCGTAGACAGGCCGTCGCTTAGCGGCGCTAGCCCCCCCACACCCGCGCGCCCACAGCCCGCTCGCCCGCCCGCCCGCACCCCGCTCGCCCGCACACCCGCTCCGAACATCAACAAGTTATTTCGGCTCGTGACATGCACGAAAGAGCCTAAGTTGCTCACGGGCGCGGGACGGTTGTGACATTTCATGAAATGGACGCCTTAGCGCCATCGCCGTTTCGAGGAAAGTTGATTATTTTTTGTGTGAAGTCGGCCGCCCGCTACGCCCGACCATGAAAACGGCGTTCCAGCTCCCCCTCGGCCCTCGGCTCTCGCCTACATTTTATAACATTCATAATATCAGAAACTTTAAAACGAACGATCGTCGGTGTATTGTCAGCGGAGGAGTATAAGTTTATCGATGTTTCTACGTTATTGTACATACATTATATCATATTGAATGTAAACAAGTTTTTGTTTCTCTCGTTGGGAAGTTTGTAACGAGATAGTGTCGTCACTGACGAGTCGGTTGCTACTGCAACAAGTACGCACTTGTAACACGCAACATATTTAAAATAGAAATAAAGTTTTTCCTTGTTCTGGTTATTTCTTGCCTTTCAATAAAAATACTTTTGCAGTCAATATTTTTGTTAAATGTTCTTTAATTATAGAAGTTTCAATCCTAACGTGAATATGATTATAAGTTAGTTTGACCTACATTATTTATCATAATAATACACTATAGAAATCTACTATTATGGACAAATTAAAATCTTTGCAAGTTATCGTAAGAGACCTATAAATTATAATTATAATATCGGGAGTTTGATTTGAGGATTTTAATCATTATAAAGATTTGTCCTTGACAGAACGTACACTGTGTTTCTTTGATTTCATAACAGTAACGTAATTACTTGTACGTGTTACATCGATCAATGTAATTAAAGATAATACTTGTCATATATGTGTATATGTAATAATTATATTATAATTATATATTACGTTAGTACTGCAGTACGTTCGAGTCGCATGAGTAATGATTGTACTGATGCATAAAATATATACATATGTGTTTATATAGTCGTCGACTAAATTGATACACTGGAATTAATCCATGCTAATTTGGGGCCCAATTCGCTGTCGGCAGTGAAGTCAAACTCAAACAGGTTCCAATTTTATAACTGCTTCTGATATATTAAAATATATACGACACAGAAATTTCTAATATTTAGGAAGCCAATCTGTAGAATTTCAATTCAAAGTATTCTCAGTGTTATGTTTTCGTGTTAAGGTAAAATATTTTTGAAAAACAAAGAAAAATAACAGCATCATTAACGTTAACGAGAGGTTGTATAGGTTTATATCAATCATACACGAGTACGGACGAGTGACAAGCGAGGCCGCGGCTCCCAGTAACATAATACACCATGACATCATAATATATGTAGAATATTCCATGAGTTTTTTGCCAGCTTCGTATGATCATGGCTTGTGGCTGAATTAACCGAAGGCCACTCCACTTGACGGCCCACACTGAACACCGCACGTACTATCTAAGTACGGACTAGTTGGTAACAAATTTATCCATCGAACATAGAAAAGAACTTTAAAAACATTCAGAACTTAACACATTCATATTAATTTCAATTATTATTGCGATATTTTAATTAAAAACAAACATAAACTGTGATACCTTTTCTTGGCTCTATTTGCAACATAAAATCAAAGTACCTAACAATATGAATACAAAAGCATACCGACAATTACTATGCTTTTCTGGTATGTTGACCAATGACTATATAAAGGAAGCTCTTTATAAGGTCTCTCACTGAATACTTGTGTCGTGAGTACAGATAGATGACGGAGTATCCTTGGAACGCCCCGAGTACACCACTCAGCTATCCTTGAGGATCTATACTACTCTCAACTACGTAATATGAGTACAGAGCTATACATCGCCGAGTAAAGCATTATAGTATTAAGTTCCTAGAAATCGGTACCACAAATCATTATAAAGATTACGTAATTTTTCATAAGCCTTCATATCTGTTACGTTTAAATATACTAGTTATGACAAATGTAAGTTTGAAAACAATGGAAAACTAAAAGACAGTTTAGTGTATGTTGTTGTCACTTCTCAGCCATCATGAAATGAACTAATAAGTCCCACAGACACGTCGTCGCCGCCTGGACCGACTGTAGTTATATACTCTCAGAAAGACATAAGAGACATGATGTACTTGTCACTCTTAATACCAGCGCATAAGATACAAAATACATTGACATTGGATAAGCATTACAAGTGACGGTTGAGCTACTGAGTTAGAGAAAATTGAATCTATTTGTACAGTTATAGAGTTGAATATCAATTGAAAGTGGCTAAGTGTGAAGCACACGTGCGTTCAAACATCACCCAAATGGGGACCAGTTCCAAGTCGGTCGTATGTCTCTCGAGATCTTTACATTGATAGGAGGTTCTGGGGAACGTAATGAACCCCAAAGGCATCGGATTCCAATTGTCTTACGTTACTTTTCAAACAAACTCTGCTCTATATGTGTTCTAAGTATATATTTTTTAAAATATTGTATTAAAATATACACGTCATTACATTTAGCTTCAATACATTAGGAGTACAAAATGTTTCTGTTGGTTTTTCTACTTCAATACTCTCTTCATTTATAAATAATATTCGAAATTCATAAAGAAAATAACAGTTTAATTATTACAAGATGTCATTATACACTTATGTAACAGTATTTCTAGTCGAAAAGTTTATTAACAATGAATGTATTTACGTCACATAAATGGTATATAACCTATGTATAATGTTAAATAAAAATCTAGCATTGAAAACCTTGGTTACTTAGTAAACCGGCACAAAAAAAAATACTAAGAAATACAATGAAGATCATTTTCCACGTGGCGTTTCGATCTCGACCGGTTTGTGATCATCTCACCTGCCTCATACTCAGCAAGACGACCCGCGTCACTCGACTCCGGCTATGAAGCTTTCTACCCACGCAAAGGGAAAACGGTCGGGGAAACGCGTTGTAACACTTACTATACAATTCTATCAATTACTAATGATGTCATTAATACATATAAATATTATGAGGAATATACGAAAGACGCGCGCAACAACCGTTACTCAATACTTGGACTCGAACCATTTTAATATAGAATAATCAATTAAACCACACCTCGCAAATGTTTGTAAGCCATTGGAAAATTTCCAGGATGATAAATCTAGCTGTCTCTGTGAATGTACGTATGTTATGTAAAAATCGTACGATGTTTTCTTGGCTTTGACAACTTTTTAAGATATATGTCGCAAACATTGGTACGCAATGTACGTAAATATTGCATCATCTTCGATATTAAAACGAACATCTCACTAATTGCAAATAGACTTTACATTTAAGCGGTAAGTAATCTTATGTTAGCTATTTCAATGTTGCATGCTCGTTAGAGACAACGGGACAGTATCTAAGGGAATGTAAACCGGCAATCAATTACGCTGAACGCCGATAGAACGCATACATCTGCATCATAATGCGGCCCGTGTGTTATTTATGTTAGTTCTGTGCGCGTTCGTAAATCGTTCTGTTATATCATACAGTTCGTTGATCGCACGTGTACGTATTCATGAATAAACAATGAGCGGAGCCGGGTCCGGTCACTTGCGCAGATAGTGCTGCCTGTTAGCAGTATCAGCGTCGATGATTTCATATCACTCAGGAGCTCCGCGGCGCCTACGTGCTGTTTCGCGCGTTGCCAACTTGCAATCCGCGATTCATACATTTTCATAGCCCGCTATCTGAGCCGTTTCGATTTGAAGGACATCCTTCGTTATTCTTATATCTTCTCTTGTTTTAATTTCTATAAAACTCAATCTTTCAAATGACTATACGTATACATAATACAGTTACATTTCAAATATATACAACGAAAACTTGTTATGTAAATAATAGAAATAAAAAAGACCACCGAACATAATGAAGTCATCACGATTTTTAGTATTAGGTATAAAAAAATAGTCTGTTAGTTATAGTTCACGTGTGGTACAGTACGTGTATTTATGATCGCCTTTATTGTAGGACAGTAGTTACTTCTTGTCACCGCTAGCGATATATTTTGATCGTGCTATTGTGCAACGTGACGAGCGCGGCTCAGTGTGGCGCCACGCCAACGGGCCGCGGTAATACACTCGCGGTACATTCTATTTGAGTTTCACTTCACACCGATCTTAATCGCTTCATATATTCCAAGTCTTCGTCGTCCTCGCCTGCGTCCTTTAGTTTTACCTTATCTTATCTTCAAGCTGACTATCTTGAGAATTCCTAAAATAAAATGTATCAGTGCAGTCATCGAGTCGGACCCTAGCAACCAGGATGTAGATAACATTACGCCACATTGACATCACACGAATAACTCCAGTACGAACTGAATGTGGAGTGTGGACACGTAGTATAATAACGTGGGAAAATTCCAATAATGCGATGCACTCACTGAATGTTTTATTAAACTCACCCATTCATACGATCTTTACATATGAAAGTGCCTGACGTTACTTTTATATTATTTAATTAATGATAACGGAAACCTTCGACCGATATCCCAAACTAAAAATAAACATAAACAAGAATTTTATATAAAAAAAATTCATTATACAGACTCATAGAGTTTGAGTAGAGATAACAGTGTAAAGTACAAGGTAATGTACGTTAAATAAAATCATACAAAGATATTGTAGTATTTTATAATTCAGGCGTGTTAGTGGCGGCGCTTAATATATATTGGGAGTGAGTTTCTCGAATGTTTGGGTCAGCCGAGCGGTGAGAGGAAACCTGTCTGACGGCCTGTGGGCGTCCGCGACTTACACACTCAACTAACTCAGCATATTATACTCCTGACCAGCGTCTTCTGAACGAACAGATATTACAAGGCCATTCACTATTAGCAGCTATACATTGTTGACAACACAAAGCGGCGAGGTGACACTAGAATAATGATCCTCGCTACGAATTATAATACTTGTTTACGTGCTTAAAACATGGTATCGATCAACATTTCGTGTGTTATTTTGAGATAAAAGATAAAAACGTAATTGCTATTACACATGACAGACTAATGTTGTTTTCGTATACACACATGATACAAATATGGACTATCATCGAATCGATTACTTTTGGCGTCATACAAAACGTTTATAAAGTCGGAACAGGTTGAGATTTTATTGAAACTTAGGCAGGTCCATTTAAGGAGTTACAAAAAAATAAGGTGCCAATAAAAGGACGGAAACCCATTGTTCGTCGTCGTTCTGGTATCAGGAATTTTAGTTAAAAAAAATATATGAGGACCCTTCCATAGAATCGGTCGGCGAGGAACACAATGAGCCCTTTGTGAGCAGGCGCCGAACGGTCTGGCGGCGCGCGGGCCGTCGCCGACTGGTCTGTGAGGGACGGACACGACTTTCGCCCCAATACGCTCCACACACGGACCATTATCCTATGACACGCGGACAGGGACAACAAGCGAGCAGCAGAGACGTGTGGGCTTCACACACACACACACACACACACCCGCACCCTGTACGATGTACCGTGTAGAGGAGCGGCCTCAACACCGGCGCCTGACTCGACTCCGGTGACGATGATCGTTTGCGAAATTAATCCGCCGACATTAAGAGAACGACCGCTACTGTTGAAGGAGCGCTGGGAATACGTTCATTATATATATAACATAAAGCAGTCCCTTCAACAGTATATAATACAGCGAAAGACATAAACAACATTTTACTCTAGGTTATTCAAAAGTTATACTCAGGAACCTGTTACTCTAATACTATTTAAGCTACGACATTTATAAATAAATATATTATAATTCGCTAGATTGCATTACGTGATCATGGTTTGGGTCTTAAATACATTTGCATTTTTGTAACTTTTTTAAGGACGCCTTGATTCAAGAAGACTAATTGGCAGCAGTAATATGAAACGTTTATGAATATTTTATCCAATAGCTCCCTAGGTCGAGTCTCGCAGTCTTGTTTATTAGTCATAACATCACGCCATCTCGATTGCGTGAATGCAAGCATAAATACATTTATATTATAGGCATTCCAATTCTGAGACTGGTGTTTATACTTTTTTATTCCATTATGGTATTTGTGTGTATCGTAATAAGATCTAACTCAGCATAACAAAATTCTAAGCTCTTGAATGACTAGATTGCAACCACAAAGATAAAATTCCTGTATTTTTCCATGTATCTTGTGATAAGAATGCGTAGTCATACATATTTAGTTCAAGTGGTTACATCCTATGTCATGAGTGAAAAGTATCCAATATTAACTTAGCTTTCACATAAAAAAATATTTAAATAATGTAATAATGTTTTAGTGACGGGTTCGTCTCCAAAAATTTATTAACAAAAACCGAAATAGTCATGTGTACCTATTAGTTATAATAAATAATGTTGCCATGTAAGCATTTTTTTAACCGGTTTTATTTTGTGAAAACCTCTTTAGGCCGCTGTTTTTTAATTTATTTTTATGACGCTCATCTAAAACCTTTGTACAGTTATATTTTATTGGACACGGAACTTTGGATGTTTTTATGACAGTTGTTAAGCACAAATAAACTACAATTACAAATTATACTAATTTTTATTTAACTAACAGGATCTTATAGTCCATATCGCTGTTATAAAGTTAACAAGAGTTTGGTTAAACATTGAAAACTGAAGGTATATCTAATTATTTGACTAATAAAACATTTACATAAGTCTAGAAACTTTATATATTCAAAAACGTATATAGGTATATGTATGTATCTTCTTTTTTCTTAGAATTCTTAGAAGTAGAAAACGCCTATAGAACATTCAACGAAACTAGTTTTTCATTGTATTTTTATATCTTCCGATTTTTTGTCGCTTATGTTGTCAATTTTTTTGTTTAATGACATAAAAGGGGAATATTCATAAGATACAATACCTACATTCACAATATATAAAGGCCTTGTTGATCGAGTAAACTGTACGTAGTTATATAATATTCTGTTAATACCATTTGTCTATGTTATTGCAAAGCTAATTGGTTTATACAGTAACTAAAGCCGTAAGCTGTTTATGGCATGTTGCCGAGACCAGATCTAGCAACATAGGCGGTTAGTAGTTGGCATCCGCTTTCAATGATACGTTTCCTTATAATATTACTTGGATATCTACTCCAGCATCGCTACAGAAGAAATGTTTTATAAAATATTTATTACAAACCAAAAAAGAAATCAAAATATAAATATTTAATAACTTATATGTTAATGCAAATTAATCTTGTAAAATATAATGAAATGAAATTTGTGTTCATATTCATTTCGTGTCACGTAACATAAAAATAATATAATTAAATAATTATAATTTGCCTCGTATAATTATACTGATATTTGATGCTCGTAGTTTTAAGCTCAGTTAACAGAAATGTAAACAAAAGATATGATTTAAGTTTCAAGTTTCAAAACGTTATAGTCCAAAATGGACGGTCTCTTTAATTCTCTCCAAAGTATTCTTATGTCAAGTACGAAAGCCAACATCTGATTCCCTCCAACAACTAGATAGTAAATCTATTTGCAATAGAGTAAATGTGAAATGTACAAAATATTACTCAGTATAGTGCATCTGATGAACGCGAGTATTCTTAACAAGTCAGTTAAAGTTTGTACGGAACAAGCAATAATATAGTTCGAGGTCGTAGATTGGAACGAATTTGCTTAATGTATGAGAAAACATTTCGTGTAGTTTAGGGTTACTATTCGATTCATTAATTGTATTTAGTTCAGTACGCAAACCGTTTATATATTTTATAAGGCCCAATTTGCAATATATTTGTCAGCTACTAGTATATTATTCATATATTTTGCAGTTTATATTCATAAGGAATAATTTCTTAAAGAGAGATTCACATAGTTTGAATTCCTTTTGCTACAATATATTAACGGGATATTTGGTACCGGAAATTAATCAGTTTTCATTTGTAATTAGCAGTTAGCTCACATTCAGTTGTCTATCAGTTGAACCATTTACTAGGAAATAGGAACGAAATTTTTCAATATTACAGAATGTGCCTAACAAATCTATTTTTACAATAACCAAGTTGAATGACAAAAATTGAAATTAACAAATTGTTGTTTAATGTATGTGAATACATTCCAAGCACATGTGCGTTCAAATATCCGCATCAAGTTTTACTAATTGGACGCTAGTAGCGTCGTGATAGTCGGTGCTCGGGACTCGGGACTCGTGAGTATCGTTTAGTTGACGGCTGTTACTAATTTGGCGGATGTCGCGACGTTTCCGCCAGGCGAGGGGAATGCCTTTTTTTTCCTGCACCGACTAACTTAAAAGAACGTGCCGCCGTATCTTAATCCTAACGAGCTTTTGAACGACGCGAATAGAAAAGATGATACCTGAATAAAAAAACATCAAACTGACGGTTTTAGGTGGATTCTGGAAACTCGTTGTTAAGATACAGCGTGGCAGATATCTAGACATGATTATAAAATATAGACTGAGGTTTATACAGGACATGTTAAAGATAGAAAGGACATAGAATTTTTGTAGCCATGAAAGTCGGTTATTGAAAAATATTGACTTATTAATTAATGTGTTTCTTATTGATAATATCTAAGGATCATGTACAAAGAAATAAAATAAAAAGTTTATATAGTGACTGAAATAGGTAACAACATGCATTTCATATATTAGGTTGGTGCGTATGAAATGTCGGATTCTCTTTACATGCGGACGTTTGTCTCCCTGTTTTCGTTATACTTTCGTCTTTGGCATAACCTCACTCACAGTCGTATTGTCCATTGCCAGAGACTCATTTCAGCAAAATAGGTTTTCTCGAAGGTCTTCCCTTTTGTTATTTATTTGAGTTTATTGCCGATATGAATTCTGGGGACATTCGCGTCATTTTCTTATATGAGTACAAACTTGGTAATACTCCTGCAAAAGCTGCACGCAACATAAACCAAGCCTTTGGGGAGAATACGATTAACAATCGGAAAGTGCAGAGTTGGTTAAAAAAAATTTCCGACTGGCGATTTTTCACTGCAAAATGAGCCACGCGGAAGACCCAAAACGTCTGTGATAAATGATGACCTGAAGGCTCTAGTGGAAGCGGATCCAGCCGTATCCACGAGGGAACTTGCTATCAGGATAAAAGTTGACCATACAACGATATTGAGACACCTTTCTGAGATTGGCAAGGTTAAGAAGATGGACAAGTGGGTACAACGCTCGGCCGCATACATCGCACAAAACAATTGCGAAACTGAACGAACTGGAATATGAAGTTTTGCAGCATCCACCATATTCACCGGATCTCTCGTCGACCGATTTTCATTTTTTCAAGATTTAGAGCTGTTTTTAAGGGGCAAACACTATGAAAATGAAGACAGTCTAAAAAACTCGATATCAGAGTTTTTTAATTCTAAAGACCAAATTTTTTTTAAGACAGGCATCTACGCTTTAAAATCTCGTTGGGAGAAGTGTATTGAAGCGAATGGAGCATACTTTGATTGAATAAACAGCTTTTGAAGAAAGATATGCAGTTTTATACAATCACTTAAGAATCCGACATTTCATACGCACCAACCTAATATGTTGGTTTTACAGATTCGATTCACAGATTTGACACTAGCCAAATTTTTTTCTTAAATAATATTGACATTCGACGCAATAGATGTAACATGAAAATACACATTGCACTGTAGAGAAAGTTTAATAACTTAAATATTAAAAAAAAGTTGGCTAATATAAAGTATGAAGACAGAAATACATTCACATGGTGAGATATTTCGCCACTGTTCTGTCGACATCGTGAAGGGCGTGGAAACGACACGTGGTTTAAAAACAACACATGTTACTTATATATATGTATGTAATGCTGACTTTAAGAAGAAAACAGTAGCCGCTTGACATAATAAAAGTTCATATAATAGACTAGCGCGTGTTAATTTTCAGTTAAGTTAATCTTTTTTTCATATCAAATAACTAGGTAAATAAATTGCCAATTGAAAAAGTATACAGAAGAAAATATTTTTTTTTTTAAAGTAAATACCCACTGCCTAATGAGCGAACTATATTAAAGAAAACGTTTAAAAAACGATGACGCGCTTTTTATTTTGCCATGTCTCGGACCGTTTATTTTGTTTAAGAGCGTTTTTATCTATTTTGTTTGCTAAATACCAAGATATTATATCTTTTATTATAAACATTACAGTGTTGGCAATTATAAATCCTATATGTGAAATAGAATTTAAAACATTAGTTTTGTTTTTCTTTAGCTTTATAATAGGTATTTCTATTAATATTCCCTGCATAAAGAAGAATACAAAAATTAATGATTTAATGGATTCGGTAGAGAGGTCTCAATTAAGGATGCAATCTTTAAAGTTTAAACACTCCCACATGCACACTTTGATACCGCCAAATAAAAACATATGTAGGTATTATGTTTATTAAGCGTCGCTTCTGTGCGGTAGATGTCAGTTGCTTGTGTAAATCTTCTATATATATAAAAATGGATTGCTGTTCCTTCGTATCGAAACAGTTTAAATTGAAACAGGAGAAACCTGATTATTAATGGCCTCTAAAACGGAATAGAGTTCGCCCGGTCAGCTATACATACCTATATTACTAATGACGAAACTAACGCGGACGAAGTCGCGGACAAAAACTAGTTTATAATAAAAATATTAAATGAGGTGAAAAAATTAGAAGCAAACGGAGTGGAATAGGCAGTGCCTTGAACAATTTTAATTAATAGACTTTCCGAATGAATTTACAGAATGTGGTAATTCATTATATAATTGCTCAATCATGAGCGTGTTTTACATAAACTTAACTCCGACACTGTGACCGCTCGACGCTCCGTTGAACGATGAGGAGGGTAGTTAGTTAACAGGCGAGTGGCGACTGCACTCATTGTGAGCGGTTATTTGGTTGGAATAAACATTTGGGTAGGATAGGCACATAAATAAGTTAGGTAATGTGTGGCAAACCTAAGTCTAGTAGTGTCTGAGAGGGTATGCGGGAATGTACGTCTTCAAGATGTTAAAATGGTGGCAAAATAATAAAGGAAACATATGATAGACGCCCTTGATTTGCAGAAATCCACTGATGATATTTGAGATGGTCTATAAAATTTAATTTATGACCTACCTTGAATGAGAGGGTCGATAGAGCAAATGATACTAAAAGTATTGCGAACTTGTTAAGAGTCACCAATAAGTTTTTCGTGTGTAGTACTCAATGTTGTAAGAGAAAATAAGTATGTAGGAAGAATATTGCACACAAACGATCTTGGAAAGGAGAAACTCAACATTGCGTATGCACCACGCTAGACTTCACCATTTTTTACTTACTTTCTGTGAGTAACCCTTACCGGCCATCTTATATAATGTGGAGAGCAGTTGCATCCATGTTAAAAATAAATACCAGTGACATGACAGAAAAAAAAAATCATATCCCATATGGGTCATAATTATTTTGAAGAAACATGCATTTTAAAGAAGCATGATAAATCAGTTTTATCTTTTCACTTTTTGGATTAGTCTGAGGTCCCAAATTTTTACTTAAATATCTGATAGCTTCCAAAAAAAGAAATTATTGTACTAACTACTAAGTTTAATTAAAATCTCATATTCTCTAATTTCGGACTTTATCACAAACCTACGGGCTCAGAGACAAAATTGCTAGTGTTTAGATTTTACACCAGTATAAATGTCTCATAACTTAGTATCGACGACACATTATCTGACACAAAAACGATCGAAGCGAAGCGCAAGGACTTATCCTTTCCATGCTTTATTCAGAACCAATTACAGTAATATTTTAAAGTCTAATAATAATCATTCTTGGTTATAAATTGTTACATATAAACGAAATTCCCTTTCTATAATTAGCAATATCTTTCTCCATAATAATGTTAATAAGTAGGTCTTTATCATCATCATCCAATGGCTGATCAAGTGGCAAGATTTATGACTACACAACTCTTGATCTCATACGGCACGATTATATCCACCTTCAGCGACCGCCACACCATCTAGTACTGGAGTAGCTAAACTTTTATTTTCACAACTGCAGCATTCAATGCTTAGTTTTTGTGATCATCACTTCAGCAATACAGCACTGTTGCTGATGACGTCACGACACGTCACAATACTGCAAGCCTGCACTACAACCACCTTTAACAGGCCCCTACTAATTCCATCACTCCGAATTACCCCACAGTTCCTGTGAGACATCTAAAAAACTAACCTAATATTGGTACTGACAATGTTACCAATGGATAAGTCAATATAAAATGCTGAAGCTTTTGGAATTAAAGTTATTTTGGCAAGAATGTTTGACATCCTTAATTATAAATATACCTTCTATTTTGATGCTATAGTTAATATAGTCATATTATAAAACTTACTTAAATCAGAGAAAAATTTACTTCAATATTTCTAATAATTCGCGATTATCCGGACTGCCAATCGCGACGAGTTTATTCTAACACTAGCTGTGCCTGCGACTTCGTTCGCGTGGAAGTGACTATGAGCAGCGTTTTTTTAAAATATGATTCTTAATTTGACATAACTTTTTTACTTATGAACCGATTGACATGAAACAAACACTAAAGCATAACTGAAGCATACCACAATATATTCGTGAAAACCGCATCCAACTCGGATCAGCCGTTTCTGAGATTAGCGTGAACAGACAAACAGACAAAAAAAAAGTTAATTATATTTTTGGGTTCGACATCGACATAACAATATCCCTGCTATTTTTTTATTTTTATTTTCAATGTACCGACAGCACTTTTCTACAATTTTATTATATGTATAGATTAACATGTCAGAACTTGCATAACGCCACGCCACTTATAACACTTATACGTACATTATGTACAATTTCTTAATAAACTTTGATTTTCGCTCATATGTATTTGTTGTTTTAAATAAACACCTAACATTACATATGTATGTTAATGACTACATATGTACATATGCAAAAAGCCCGTTTTTCTTCATATATTGGATTATCCGGACTTTCAATTATCCGGATGGCTACCGACAACAATTAGTCCAGATAAACGAGGTCCTACTGTATATGAAATCAATGTCTTTTCCTCATTTAACTAAATTAATACTTGAGAAAAATTCTAATATGCAATATCAATGCAAGATATATTATAAGGTATTCAATACCTAAAAATATTTTACCTACCCATAACATAAAATATCTTCAATAGTGCACAAAAAAATTTTTACTTATATATAATGTTCAATTAAAAATACAACTACATATATTGTAGTGCCAGATAAATCAAAAATTGTCTAATATTGTAAAGTCTTTTGTATTAATTGAATACATCTTAATACTATTTATATACAAATCAACAAACTCCCCATACTTCTTCAAATGCGGAGCAAATCTTCGCACAAGTTAATGCAGCAGACAGAGGGTAGTTACTTATAGATATTACATCTTCTGAATAATCTACTTCCACCTTTCCATGTGCCATAGCCCCTACTATTAATACAATAGGCTCGTCCTGAGGTACTAACTCCCTACAATTTTTCACCATTTTTGAGCTAAATGACATAGTAATTTTCTTTACACCAACGGGCAAGTGTGATGTTATTGGATTCTTGATGACTTTTAACAGCTTCATTGGTCCGTCTGATGCTCTGATCGCAAATTTGTGAAGTAGTTGAACTGGAAAACATAAAGAATAAATAAAGAATTATATGAATGCCATATAAAAAATAACACTATGATTTTCAACCTTATATATAGATAGTAAGAAATACCAACCCATTAAACCAGCAAATCTTTTGAATGTTCTAGGAATTCTTGTTTGTGGGTTGATCTCAATGAGAACATTTTTCTCGGTGTGAATGTAAACTTGCAGTAACCCTGCTCTATTGAGAGGGGAATCCATTAGCATAAGAAGAGACTGGTGTGCGATGTCAGGTCGACATGATCCAGGATCTCTGTCGTTTTTCCTTAATATATGACCATGATCATCACAATTAAGTAATTCGAAGCTGTTTCCACTCTGTCGATGTGATATTATATTTTCGTTATAAACTTATACTAACAACTCAAAATATAAATGATTGTAGTTATGACAGTAATTATTATTAAATAAATTAATATAACCATAAGAGAATATAAGACAACAAATTTTTTTACCTACCAAATAAATTTACTTACTTTAACTGTTTCCAAATGCGCGTTTTCAAGAATAACAATTAAACGTTTTTCCTGTTTTTTTATATGTGAAGTAACCAAATGTCGAGGAATAGGATCAAATTCGAAATCGTCGTTATTAGCTTCATGTTTCCTTTTCTTGCCCATGACCGCCACGACAAAAATCCGATTTAATTAAGAAATATAACTATTTAACTTGGTTTAAAGTTTCAATAAATTTTCAAACCACGTGTGTTTGAAATCTATCTTTATAAACATTAAACATGAACATCATTGTCAGTTGTCAAAAGAGACTTTGATTAAAAACGTTTAAAAATTTATATACTCTAGAATATTATTTCTCTTTAACATTCGTGGAATATGCTTTACACATTAGCGTAAGATATAATGATTAAAATAAATATAATATTGAAACTAAAATTTCTTTACAAATCATGATAAAAAGCCACTCTGACACTAAAGTTATTTTAGTAGTTTTTGTTTAGCATCAAAACCATAATTTGGCAGCTTATAAATTCCCCGTCTATTTTAAAAACAAATACCCATCTAATATTCTTCAATTAACAACTTCTTTGTCCAATTAAAACTATAGAGACAAAAATTTGCAAAAAAATGTATGGTTAAAGACACAAAAAACTATTTAGTTTTAGTTTTTTAAAATATACAGTTTATCCTGTCTTACAACACGATTAATTCATCTACATTTTCAAATAGATATGTCATCTTTAAGAAACACTCATTAGGTGTTCATCCTTTAGACATAATTAGAGCAATAAACTCTTGGTTAAATACCTAGACAGGTACCTTATATCCTATACCAATGACATTTGACAGTGACATTAAAAACAGCTTATTTCTGACATTTGCTTATTTATATGGGTAGATGTACTCAGAGTTTAAAATATCATCTAAGGGTAATAGTAGTCCAAAGCCTCCAAGAAAAAATATCACAGTACTAATTTCTTATAGCTATTAGTATCTTATACACAGTGCCAGTCATTAATAAAATCAGAGTATAATACGCTACGAATTCTAGGGTGATATTTAATCAATACGAATGGCAAACGACCGAGAAGTCTTAAGAGAAATATGGGATGGAAAGTTGCCGATATGCTTTCAATTAGACCAAGAAGAAATCATGGATATACAACAGCCTGATCCATTCTATGTCATGGTACCGCGACTGAGTTACTTTCCACTTGTTATAGACAAGGTATATTACCTCATTCATACTTTAGTTCATTCCTAAATCATAGGAAAATTATTATTGTTATAATTTTTGTTTTTAGATGAAGAGACATTTCTTACGTTTTATATCCCAAGAAAATGCCGATAACGAAATGTGGTTGGACTACAATGGGCAGCCTCTTAAATGGCACTATCCAATTGGATTTCTTTATGACCTTTTCTGTGGGAATGATCCTCAACTGCCATGGAACTTAACTGTACATTTTACAAAGTTTCCAGAACACATCCTCCTTCACTGTTCAAACAAGTAAACAATAATATCATTTACTATTGGCAAATAAATATAATTTGACTATTGGCTAATCTTTTAAGTCTGATTGACTTTGAAAATAACTCATAAGAGAAAAAAATTAAAACTACTACTTACAGGATAAGAATAATTTTAGTTATTTAGTTGTATTTTAATGTATTATGCAGTTACATCTTGTATTTCAGGGATATAGTTGAAGCACACTTCATGTCTACTGTTAAAGAGGCTGATGTTCTTAAACATAGAGGACAAGTGATGTCTACAATGCAAAAGAAAGATCACAACCAACTGTGGTTGGGTTTACAAAACGGTATAGCATTTATATTTTAATTTCCATATTATTAAACATCTCATAATATCTTCAATAAAAAAATGTGAAGAAGGTTTTGTTACTCAATCCAATTCTAAGTTTCCATATGAAATATTCAATTAAAAGGCAAATCTTAAGGCTTTAGTTACTTTATTTTACTGTTAACTGCATTTTAACACAGTATTTTAATATTGATAATGATTTTAAAGTACATTAAGGAAACACAAATATTAACAAGTATTAAAAATATTTCACAGATAAGTTTGATCAATTTTGGGCTATAAATAGAAGACTGATGGAATCACACGGTGATAACGAAGGATTCAAACATATTCCCATAAGGATATATTCAGATGATGGCATTTGTAGACAAAGATTAATCAGCCCAAGGAATAGTGATGGAAGTCGGAAGATCATCCAACAATTAATATCAGAATTATATCCTGATAAGCCTGATGGTAAATAAATAAGTTTAATAATAATATATCTATTTACAAAACAGTCTATACATAAAAAGTTTCACATGTTAATATTATTTTACAGTTAAACTAAGGACCCATGGGATACTGCTACCTGCGGACACACCTCTTCAATGGCTTTCTGAACACATGAGCTATCCAGACAATTTCTTACATATTTGCTTGTGCTGAATATATATATATAATTAATTGAAATTTGATAAAATGAATACATTCCTGTTTGCAGACTTATTATTTGCAGGATCCATGTATATAAAGATAATTTAAATTGATTGTTTATTATTTATTCATAATTTTAAGATGTTTAATGTACCTAACCACCAATGAAAATATCAGTGGTTTCACAACATAAAAGTGATTTTATAAAAAAACTTAACTAAAAAGACTTTACAACAACAATGCATTTCATCATTGTTTAGAGTTATCTATAATTCATCATTCTTTTGTTTGTGTTTTTGTATAATGTATGGTATTTGCTTTGTAAACCTTTTACAACCATTATTTGCAAATATTGGTTGTTCTTCAGATGGTCCATAGGTAATTACTGACAATGCGTCACTGAAAAGTATGAAGAAAATATTATTATAGGGGACAACATACTTACATAACTATGAATATACTTTTGTCAGTATTAAAAAACATAAGAAACAAAATATAATCAATCTTGTTGAGAGACACACATGCAAAACAGGGGCAAGTTATATATAACCAGGTCTTTATCTATGTTTTACGAGTATAAACTGTAAAATCAAACTTACGACATCATTTCTTCTGATGGGTTATATATTCCGTGAGCTCTGAATTCTGCTGATGCACACATCTGGACATGATGTTGTTCCAAGGGTAAGAATGGGATGTAATGATCAATTAAATGTTGAGCGATTGTTAAGGATTTTTCAAATCCACCTAGAAATATACATAGCTGATCATTATACAAACTCGAATTAAATAATTTTTGTTTAATAGATTATATGTTATATTCAAATATCTTAAATTTCACTAGATTTTGTTTCTTTCCTTGTATTTTTTTAAATAAAGATGATACATTTTTAACATAATATAAGAATGATTGTTTACAGAGTAAGGTACTCTCAAACTTTTTCAATATATTAACAATTAGTCATTAAATGTTACCTGTATTATATGCAGTTCTTCTTATGATTGATTCAAAATTATGAAATTCCACATCATTCCTCATAATTCCTTGACTATACAGGTCCAGCAGACTTGTTGCAATTTCTTTACCACCAATATTTGATATAAATATGAAAATTGCATTCCTACAATAAATAACAGATGCAATTATGACAAAAACGAATTAAGGATTGAGATATTTCTAATGTAACATTTTAAAAATTTACAATTACCTATAATCCACTCCATCTACTTCATGATGATGGTCAAGCATTGGTTTTATTGAATCCAGTATCGTAGGGCACATTTCATGAATTTCATCAAATATAATCAGTGATGTTGAACATTTTTTTACAATTTCATTCACATCTTTAATGAGTTTTTTCTGTCAAAAATATTGCCCTTATAATAATTAAAACAACAATGCTTTCATTATATTATTATATGAATTTCTTTATTGTTCTAACAGTGGACTTACTTGAGATTCTTGAAGATTGGAACAGTCAAAATCTTTTTTACCCATGAAAACTTTTACAAACTGGCTCTTCATACCTTTTTTAAATATTGATTCTGCTATAAAGGTTGTAGCATAATTTTTGCCCACACCAGACCACCCATGTAAACTTAATACCAAGGCTTTCTTATTCTTTTGTGTTTTATCCATTAAACTTTCTTTATGTGCTTTTAATATTTTTGGTATTTCGTTGACAAGTGGTTGACCAAACAGCTGATTCTTTAAGGATTGCTCTAGTTCTATAAATATAATAAATCATTGTATAAAAGAAAATAAAATTGGTAGCAACTTAGGAAAGAAACTCACTTCCTATATCGAAATTAACGTAGTTATCGTTACAACATTCAACATAACGACAATATGTGTTTGATTTAACATAATCCCAACCAAAAAAACCACTAGCTGCAGTAGCACCAATGATCAAAGACGTAACTAATTCCGAACTTACAACTTTTAATTGTAATATAAAAAATAAACAGCCCTTTATGTTCATTATGACTTGAAGTATTGTACATTTAAAAGTAAATTATTGATTATTAAAATGCCTTTTAAAATGTATTAAATAATGAAATTGATATCCTTATTTAATTTCGCAAATTATCACTACATATTAAACACTATCGGCTAAACAAACTAGACATCAGACTGAATAATGAAATATGAATTTCAAGTTTGAACTATAAGTTCCAGTCAGTCCTACTTCCTTCAAATAGCAATGACATGAACATGAAGCAGTTGACGTTTAAACTCAACGGGAATTCGTTTTTTTTTTTCAAATATGTAATAAACAAAAATTCCAGTGAAAATTTCAAAATAATGATGTGTATTATATATTTAAAGAATAGTTTTTTTGTCCCTTATATATTTTTCGTAACCATTTTAACGATAACTATATCACGATAGCGGAAAACATTTTTTTTTCATACATTTCGTTTCTGTTAACTTTTTGTAGCTTATACATAATCTTTTAAAAAATGAGCAAGTGTATAATAATATATAAAACAAAGATTTTTTTAAAATAGTCCTTTTAGGTTTAACAAAAATTATAGATACGTTATATATAATACCCACCCGCATTAAAAGAATAAACCTTTTTTCTTGATCTAATTTAGTATTTTTTCATATTGACATTTGATAACCAAAATGTTTATAGTTTCATACGTCAATTAAATTTAATCCGTGTCGATGTCCGTTTATATCGCTCATTATAGTGATTCGTTGTGAACCTGATTAAATGTATTAAACTGTTACTTAAGACATTATATATATCAGATTCTTAGATAAAATATTTCTTTTAAGTTATATTATGCTAATAACAAAACAAAAAATAGCATAACAATTAACTATTTTTGTGTTACCCTTAATGTCTACAAATAGTTAATATTTACGGATAAATTGTATTTAACAATGACATCTAAGGTAAAAGTGGAGTCTGGATTACAATTACTAGCTAGATTGACAAAAAAACCGCAATTAGAGAATTTCTACCCTTTATTATTCGGCCCTGGACCTAAAGCTGGACATATCATTGAGATATATAGTGAAAACAGCACAAATTGTTTACTTGCCGAGATAATATCTGAATCATTGCTACCACTTGAATTAGGTGGATCTGGAGCCAGTGTAGTCATATTTAGTACTGATGGAAATTTAGACTTAGATTATATACTCAATTTTTGTAAAAATAAATTGAAAAATCTTTCTAAAAATAAGGATCAAATTCTACAATCAAATATTGAAACTTTGGTACATTCTATTCTTAGAAATATATATTTCTTAAATATTTATGATACAACTCAATTTTATGTTAGCATTCAGAACCTAGAAAATCTGTTAAGTAGCAATTCAAATATATCTCTGGTGGTATTTGATACACTTACAGCTTTTTACTGGTGTGAACAATCTTTCAAAATAACCAAAATGGATTTGTATATTAAAAAAATTCTGAATGTTATATGGAAAATTATTAAAGATTATAATGTCACAGTTATGTATACAAGATCAGAGCATTTCAGTAGCAGTAAGGAACTCATAGAAAACCTAGAAATGTGCGGTGAACAGTCAAAAGAAGCAATTTTGAACTACAGAATACAAATAGCATACAATGAAAATGGCACTAATCACGTCAACATAAGAACTCATGATAAGCAATCTAGAAAAGAGTTTTTGTTGAAAGAGGATGAAATATGTTGGTTATAATAAAAATGTTTCGCATTTTTACATTCTTTTATTTTGGCAGTAAGAGTTGAAATATATAAGTTAGACTGAAATATCAGATTGATGCTACTTAATAAAAATAGTAGTTGCATAGTAGTGAGAAAAAACTAACTAATTAATCTTATGTGGTCCATTTATAAGAACACTTCTAAATTGTAAGAAATACAAAACTATTACAAGTGCACTAATTTGTGTTAGACTTATAGAGAAGTTTTTAAAACATTTTATCCCTAATCCACATATCATAGAAAATGTAAAAACAAATATTTCTTAATTATGATAAATTTCATAATAGATTATAAACAAGATTTCCAAAAATTAAAAACAAAATGAAATAAGTAAGATCATAAAAAAGGTCCATATGTTTCACATCTTAATTTATAAAAATAAATTCTTAATAATGAGATCAAGCAATCTTAATACAAAAGAGTAATTTAAGAGATTCTATTATTGCTTATTTATATTATCACATCATTAAGTATATTACATACATAAAAACTGCAAGACCATGACTGAAGAAGTTTAAATTTTCCCATTTGTTTATTGTATGGAAATAAGAATAACCGGATTCTTGTAATGAGAAAGATGCTTCAAACATCACACCAAGGTAAGCAAGATGCATCATAGTTATCAAAGAGAACAAAGTGTTGACAAATACAGCCAAAAAACTGTTTTTCTTATACTTATGTTCACATTGTTTTACACAAGGATTTGCAAGACAACAAACTTCTAAGGCAGATGCGACTTTGTATCTAAAATTATACTCTACATATGAGAATGTTCCAATGCTTAATAAAACAGCAGAGAATTGAAAGTTAAGGCCGTGGAGCAAAGAGGATACGGTGTATGTTGTAAAGATAGCAATAAACTGGCCATAAGGTTGGCAAGTTTTAAATACATAGTTCTTTAACCATTGGTGCATAGGAATGTTCCAAAATATAACAACTTGTACTAATGATCTCGGTAGTTCAATAAAAAAAGGCTTAGTTACTTGTAGCTCTGAATGGCAATCATTAGTTAAACCAAATCCTGCACTAGTCATGGATACAATAGACATGCTCGATACAAAATAATGTGACATTCTAAATGCTTGAGCATCACGGTAGGCAACTAGCCATTTTGTTACATCATCATCAATATACCAAGGCACTATACAATTTGATAGCACTAAAAACATCATTGACAGACATAAATTACATAAAATTATTTTTATCCACCTTTTTGATAGGAATTTTATATCAAGATATTGATTGTAAGTATGAAATGATATCCATGGTCCTAAAATACAATTAGCTGGGCAGACTATGTATCCACCAAACTCTATTGGATTTAACATTTGTTTAAATAAATCTCTATCCAACTCAATTGCAACTGAAATAATTTTCATGGCAGCTATCATCTGTACCCCCCTGATTTGCTGCCACATCTTCGGATTTACTACATATACTTCACAAAGCAACAAAAATAAAATTACACAAATAGACACTATAAGCCCTCTATATCTTTTTGTAAACATTGATAAAAAAGTAATTAAAACATATGACCCAACAGTTATTCCTACAGTCCATACTGAAGCAGGTCCAATGTTGAAGTACAACAGAAAACTTCCCAAAACCAGCGAAACACTGTGTCTCACATTTTGAGGCATAGGAATGTACTGTATAAGAAAACGTAAACAAAGATTTGCTAAAACTAAATCTTTTGCGAATCGTAGCCCTTCATAGAGAGTTGGTTCACCACATAATGTAACATAAGTCCAGGTGTTTTCAATGTATTCTTCATCTTCTTCCATTTCTAAAGTTTAAATTCTTGAACGAGGATATATCACAACAATATAATAAAAGTTATATGTTATTTATAGTTGAGAAAACTGTTTAACATGATTATAATGTTTTCGAGGATATTTCTCTTCACACATTTAAATGGATCTTGTTTAAAATAATTTGAAACGATCATTATAAAAAATAATACTAGTAGGTAGGTAGTCCTTAAAGTAGATATCACATTGTCACTGACTAACCGCAATCCGCAAGCCGTTACTATATTATAGTACCTATAGTACAGTTCTTGACAGCGAATATAAGAAATAGCTACAGGAACTAGTTAGTTGTAACGGTAAATATATAAAAGCGTAGTAAATAAACAAATAATACAATTTTAACTGACCAAGTAATGTAAAATAGGCTATATGTCTATTTTATCCTCTGTTCAAAGTTTTATAAATATCGAATTTTTTTTTAAGAGAAAAACAAACAATATATTTTAAAGCATCATTTTATGTTAACTAGTCATCAAAAATAAAATATGTTAAGTGTGATCTTCTAGTAAAAAAATGGAAATAGTTGCAATTTCAATAGAACTAAATAACCAACAAGCATTCTATTTACACCAGGTTATAAATAACATTTTAAATTTTTATGTATTTTACACATTTAGATAAATTATTAATCGCTCACTTTTTTTTGTAAATTTATTTTTTGCATTGTAATTTGCATTGGCTTTCTTTGTCTTTTCTTTCTGATGATACTAGAAAATATCATATCTTAGAACTTCAGAATGCCGAGCTACTTTCTTTGCTATTTGCATTTGCCTTAACATTTCTTAAACATTGAATATGTTAGTGTATACTTAAATTAAAACAACTTTCTTTAATGTATCAATGATTTAATTTAAGTCTTCTAATAAAATGTTAATAAATAAGTTAATTGATAACTAAACCCTTACAGTTTTTTATTCTGTGGATACCAGCAATCGCATAGACTAGCGACTGCGCGAGTTTGCATGTATAGTTTTACGGTACCATTTTAGTATCCAATTGATTTATTTAATTTTGATATGCATATTCGATGCAGATTATGTATGTGAAAGGTTCATAGTTATAAAATTTGTAAAATAAATGAACAGTTCTTGTTAATTATGTAAAGTGCTACAAAAAGACGTTTGGGGAATGCGAATGCGTTCCGCCATACTAAAAAGTTTGATTGTGTTTTATGATTAGTATTTTCGTCACCGACATTCTGTGTTAAGATGGCGAGTCCTTCACCGCAAAGTAGTCCTATGCCGCCGCCACAAGCTCCAAGTCCAATGGGGCCACCAACACAGAGCCCCGCTCCGCCGCAGTCTCCGCATAGTCCATATAATCAGCAGCATGTTAATGGACCGCCACCTTCAGCTCATCCTCCCGGTTCTGGACCACCTCCAATGCAAAATCATATGCCCCCCGGTCCGCCACATACTATTGCGTCAAATACAAATGGACCTCCAAGTGTGGTGCAACATCCTGGCATGCCACCAAGCGGACATCAAATGCCACCACATATGGTAGGACCACACATGTCTGGTCCTCCAGGACATCCAATGGGTGCTTCTGGGTCTCACCCACCTGGTCCAAATGGACATTCCAATATGCCGAGTAACCCACAACACCCAAACATGCCTGGACAAGGACCTCCTCACGGTTATATGCAACATCAAATTGGACATATGCCCCCAAATCAGGTTAGTGCATTATAAATTCCTATTTAAGAGTAGTATAAAGTTATAGCAACTTTATTAATATTTTATTTAATACTGACTAAAATTTATTAAGAGACATGACCATAAAATTATTTGTAACAAACTAAAAGACAGGTTTTGTATTTGAAGATGTCTGAATGACTTTGAATCAATGCCATTGAAGAGTGGTCCATACATTTGTTTTGAAATGGTCAGTGATTCATATAAAACGGTATAGAATTCTATGCTAAGTGGTAAAATCTGGTAGGGCATAGGTAGAATGGTAGCAATATCTTCTAAGTACATTGTGAAAACTAGAGGGGTATTCAATGTCCTCTTTACCCAGTCTGCCATATTACCAGAAAAGTTATCTAAAATAGTTAATTTTAATAATAAAATAGTGATAATTTATGAAATTTGTTGTTGATTAAAATTCTTTACTAACAAAAGTAACTTCCTGTTGTATCACAATAAATTGTACCGTTATGTTTTTCATAGACTCTAGTACTAGCCAATTTCATTATTTCCATCTGCAATTTTAAATACATATTAAGTATGTTACCTTACTATTGGAATTTTACAAATGTTACTTACAATAATGTCATGATTATTAGACTTCTTTGTATGTTTTGCATATGGAAGTGTTATATATCTCCCGAAACCTCTTACATCAATGAATGCTAGCATTTTAAGGGCAACATTATTGAGAACATATGATAATGTCTGAGTTTCTTCCTCTGACAATGATTTATGTCCCATGTATACTGAATGACATTCTTCGTCAAACACTTAAATAAAGGTCATTTAAAATTAAATGTTTCTTCAATATGTAATCATATTGTAATATAAATAATTTTTAAGAGAGACTAATAAGAATAATAACTTCACCATAAAATAAACATAATAAAATATAATGATCTTTTTAAAATTATTAGCTATATGTGATTATTGACTAAATATCTGTCATCTTAAATAGTTACTACCTTCTAACAAAGTTAAAACATTCTCATATGTATATGGAACTGTGTTAAGACATTTACTATATTTATGTATAATTTCATAGTAATATTTCTCTATCAATTCTTTATAAATAAATAAGGTGTGAAAAATCAAAGTCAATAATAGTCAAACATAAAAAACTCACTCTTTGAAGATTTCTGTAAGAACCAATTTCTATCAATATTAACACCTATAGCAACGGATCCATTGCAATCTTTTTGTTGCTTAATTTGTCTATTTTTCGACCACAACCTATACTGAATTTAAAATTATGGTCAATAAAATTAATCAGTACTAACAGTAAAGTACTAAATTATAAAGTAATTCTCACCTTTTCTCGACTGTAAACAAATCCATCCGGATTTAATACAGGCAAGAGATAAAAATCATATAAATCAAGAAGATAACTTAAATTACTTGTGCCATCTAATAGTTCGTACATGACATTAAGAATAATTGCCGATGATAGCCAATCTTTGCCATCCTCTCCACCCACTATAAAAACGATAGGTCTCTGTGGTCCTTTACTTATCTTCAGTATAAATATGTCCCTGCTTTCAAATGTTTTCCCTATAACGATTTTATCAAATGTTATATCGTCTTTATCAAAGTTTCTGTCATTGTAACCATCAACCCATGTCTGTATACTCATCCAATCATAAAATGCATTTGTGATATTAATTTCAAATTCTGTTCTTTCTGTGTAGGCCAACTGTGCACTATAAAAATAATTTATATAAATTAAATATGTATGACCAATAAGACAGTAATATTTCAATGTTTATGATTTATGTACTTTGTTATATCCATTACATATAAAAACTGTATATCAAACATTCTTAGTTTGTATTCAAACATCTGAGATGCGTCCCGTCTCACTATGACATCCATAGGTATGGCGGCTTCATTTGATACACCATTCATGAATATGATGGCAGTTTTTTTAATATGTAGATAATACAGAACTTCCCTCTCATGAGGGTTAAATGCTGTTACCTCATATAGAATATATTGTGCTTTTGCGAATACAATTAAAATAATGCCATATGACAGATATGAAGTCCATTTCATTTTTACTGACAATAATTCAAGATGGTTGTCACTGATCAGTACAATTTAGTTGTCAAAATTTAAATTAAGATAATGTTAGTATGACTTATATATATTTATTTTAGGGTTCCATGGGAATTGGGGGTGGTCCGCCTCCGCCTGGTAATGGGCCTCAAGGTCCCCCAGGTCCATCAGGGGTACCTCTGCCCCTTGGTGGACCTCCGCCGCATGGGGTACATCAGGGTATGCCCCCTATGCCACCACACCATATGATGTCATCTCAAGGTGGATATTCACATGCGTCTTCGCCGGGTGCTCCAACCCCGCCCGGCGCCCCATCAGGCCAGACACCTCCGGGAGGCCCTCAGCAGCCCCCCACCGCACAAACCCCTCCTCACGGCTCCGCACCACCTCCCACCTCGTCAGCCAATGGTGCACCATCGTCCTCCCCTATGCAAGCCTCCCTAGCTGCCTCCGGACCAGATAATCTAAACGCTCTACAACGTGCTATCGACTCAATGGAAGAGAAAGGCCTGCAAGAAGATCCGCGATATTCACAATTATTAGCCATTAGAGCTCGTTCGAATTCCCAGGATCCAAGCAAAGGACTGTTTTCAAACACCCAGCTGAGTCAATTGAAGTAAGTTAATAGATGCATATTGATATTTACTTCATTTTAATTATACTTGAGATAATTTTGGCTGTTTTTTGTAGGGCCCAAATAGCAGCTTACAGAAATTTGGCTCGCAACCAGCCTATCACACAACAGATTGCAATGATGGCAGCTGGCAAACGTACTGGAGACTCACCACCGGAGTGTCCCACACCACCAGCACAGCCGCCCTCACCATACAGCCAAGGGTAATTAACATTAGTAATACATATTCAAATAATTTATATTTTCTATTAATTGAGTATGTTTAAAAAGGTTGCAATTGATATCAAACTTTCTCTCAATCTCAACCATTGAATTAACAGTATACAAGTAATAACGTGAAATAATATTTATCCAGACTAAGTCAAGGCGGCTCCCAGAGCGGCGCCGGTGGGAAGGGGACAGCGGGTGACGCGGCCCGGGGCGGCGGAGGAGCCCCTCCTACACCGCTACCAATGACGGGGCAGATGGCGCCACCTACACAACCAACACCGCCCTTGGTCAATCCGGTAAAACTACTATTAAAATTAGTTAGTAAAAATACTAATTCGAATTCTTTTATAACTTCACTCGATAAAATAACCTCTAGATACAAGTTGAGTGAAGCGACCTCAGGGTTTCCGTACCGATCCTTTTTTTTGGACATGGGTTCCGTTTTCCTACCCTATAATTTTAATTTGTCGCGCGATATAATTTTTTCTTTTAATAAAAATCACGCCAGAACAAAAGAAACCTAGAGTCGATGGGACTCTTGGTTGCCGAGATTCATCTTCGTTGATGAATGACTAGTATAGCGTTCCGCTAGCTTCTCTTGAGTGAAAGTACCATGTCAAGACGTCTCAACTTTTCTATAAGAGCATTTTTGTAATTCAAATACTGAATTTGAAAATAAAAAAAAGTCTCTTTATGTTTAGTAAAAGACTGTTAATCGAAAATCAATTTTTTAAATTGAAAGTTTGTTTCTGTTTGATTATTTTTTTAAAATTGCAAATTAGGAACGATAATTTTATATAATTAAGACTGGTTCCGTCTTCTCATCATACTTATAAAAATCATTTAGAAGTTTTTAAAAGTGACAATTATACATTTGTGTTAAGTGTTACTCAGTCCCTATAAAGTATAAATTCTCTATATATTTAAACTATCTTTAAAAATGTAAATAAACTGTTTTCTCTTATGACTATCAATGGGCTTCATTTTCAAATTGATACTTTCCAACCTTTTGAAAAACTATATAAAAAATATAAGGTTTTCATTAGATATTATATGATATTTCTTCAATATTATTGCATTTCATACATGTAGTGTATTAAATGCAATAAATATAACACAATATTTTATAGTAGTACTATATTAATATATATTCTAGCCTTTGGGTCCTGCGGGTCCTATCCGTGGAGCAGCGCCACGTCCGCCCGGCCCCGGGGGTCCACAACAACAGACACAACAACAGGTGAATATTGTATAAATATACATATATAAATAATTTAAATGAAACTAATATTTTTCGGATGCACGACTCGATTTTATTTTTGATAAAAAACGACATACTCCCGACGTTTCGGCTACTTTTCAGCAATCATTTTGTTGTATTAGTCCGAAAAATATTAGTTTCATTGAAATGAATATGACTCGGAAATCTTAGATCTCATTATATATACAAATAACAAATAATACAGCCTTTATTCAGATAACTTTGATGAATGGATTTTTTAAACTTGTGTTAATTAAACTTAATAAACATTTTAAACTAATATTTGTTGCTTTGTTATCATTCCTGCGTCTGTAAAAAGTGTACTTAATAAAATGTATAATATATTATTAGTACATTTAAATATGTACGAGTATGTATATTTAATATTATTACATCTTTCTTTTGCTCAAAAACCTAGCAAAACACAACTTAGAACACATAATATTTTTTATTGTATTTTCTATAAGCTATATCTAATTTTCGTTTGATATTTTCAGCCAGGAGTTCCAACTCCGGGAGCGAAACAAAATCGTATAACAGCGATACCTAAGCCCGTCGGTATTGATCCGCTACAAATACTCAATGAAAGAGAGAATAGGTAAAAATTAAATATATATAAATGAAATAATAGTCTTGTGCAATATCTTACAAATATTTGTATTTAAAAATTTATTGCTTTAACAGAATTGCTGCCCGTATCGCTCACCGCATGGAGGTGTTATCAAATTTGCCCGCAAACATATCTGAGGATCTTCGCTTACAAGCACAAATAGAACTACGTGCTCTAAGGGTGCTCAATTTCCAAAAGCAGCTGCGTGCAGAGGTAAATAATGAGTAATTAAAATAACTTTCACAATGAATTCGTTGGGTTTAATGATTGAGTTAAATAATAAATTCAGTAAATGGCTTATCAATAAACATTATTTTTACTTAACTATGACTTTATGATTAAGAAATTAAAATTAACCAAACTTAAATAATCATAGTATTTTAATAATTACTGTTTAGAAACTACGAGAGGTTTAGATATCATTTAACAAATACACCATAAAACAGCAAAAATATTGTTAATAAAGGAAGATTAATAATAATAAAAATCATTATAATTCAGATATTAGGACAAGTCCGTCGCGATACAACGCTGGAAACCGCTGTGAATATAAAGGCATACAAACGTACAAAGCGGCAAGGATTACGTGAGGCTCGAGCTACCGAGAAACTCGAGAAGCAACAGAAGCTAGAAGCTGAGAGGAAACGGAGGCAGAAACACCAAGAGTTCCTGCAGACGGTCTTACAACATGGTAAATACAATTCCTAGTATTTTTCATCATAACGTTATTATTTCAGAAATATTTTTATATATTATATGAATATGATTCTTATCTGCCTGTGATCACGGCTGCTGAAAGGAACCAAAACGTCGGGATTATACAGGGTGACTGGTGAATTACTATCAATACTTGAGGACGTGATATTTGACGATCATATAGGACAAAATAAAAAATAATATAACATAAATATTAATAAACTTCTAAGTAAAGTTAACCAAAAGTTATGTAATTAATTACGCATCGTATGAACACCCTACAGATTAGGTATACACTCACACTCACACATACGCGAGCGGGGCGTGGTGTTGTATCAGCACGCCGCCGCACGCGTTCACACTTGGAACACTTGGAACGTGTCAACACTTTATTTATTTATACGGAAATTTTGTCAAAAATTAAGTGCCTATTTTTTTTACATAATTCGAATGAGAATCATGTACCGAGTATGCTCCTTAAATATTGATAGTATTTCACCAGTCACCCTGTATATGTACTTACAACATATTAAAAAACGCGTAGTATAGTTCGTTAGACTTAGCTGAGCTTTGCATTTGTGTGAGTGAAAGTAAAAGTAGAGTTAGACAAAAAACTTTTAGAATTATTATTTTTTATATTTTTAAAAGACATATAACATAAGTGCTAGAGCTATTTAAGATTATAAATAAAATAAGCAGAACTTGTAAAAGGACATATGGAAATATTATGAAAAAAAATTAATTAATTGAAATTTTGAAAAACTATACAAATTCTTATTCACTTGACATTGCGTTTTCAACATTTGACATTGCTATCAGTACAAAGGGTGAAGTGAGAATGGTGAGGGGCGGAGTAAAAGCAGAATAAACCGGTTCGAAACTAGAAAAGAACGTGGCATTCAAAAATTTGACATCACACCTATACTATCCGTGTATACTCACACAAATGTAAAGCTCCGCTTAAATCGAACGCACTACACCCGTAAACGCTTATATTCATCTTAATCTTGTTGGTCAGCATCCTCTTAAATGTTTTTTTTTTAATAAAAAAATACAACTCAATGTTTCAAATCGATGTTCTGTATTTTATTGACATTTTTATATAATAAAAATTACAGCGAAGGACTTCAAAGAGTATCATCGCAACAACATCGCTAAGCTGTCGAGGTTGAACAAGGCGATCATGACACACCACGCGAACGCCGAGAAGGAACAGAAGAAAGAACAGGAACGTATAGAAAAGGAGCGTATGAGACGGTACGGATTATATTAATAATTATATTGATCACTTACATACTTATATTGAAACTTATACTAAAACTTTACCTCCACATATCGTCGGGGATAGTAAAAATCCGCGTAACTATCATTGGATACTTCCGCGTATCTACTTTGCAGATTATTATCAGAAGAAAGTTTGAGCTGGGATATCTTCTATATTAACGGCTTTTAAGGTAATTTTTTTCACAATTAGTAATTATTTATTGTTTAATTTATTACTAATTGTGCAAAAAATTACTTTAAAAGTCGTTAATTTAGAAAATATTTTAGCTTAATCTTCTTCTCATAATCTGTTTCCAATGGTAGTTACGCTTATTTGCACTATCCCCGATGACATGAAAAATGTATGATTTTTTTGAAGTTTATAATATGTAGTTATTATCTGTATATGGCTGTATTAAGTAAACACATTTAAATATTAGTCACTTTGCAATATTTAATAAATATGTTAAGAAAATGTTTTATAAACAATATGATTGATATGAGTTGGTGAAATTTTTTGTAATAGTTTCATTACTTTTTAAATACATGTTATAAGTTGTGTTCTATGAGTGAAATTTGTTAAATAAAATGTTCCACATTATAAATGTTCCTCATTCACAGTTTGATGGCCGAAGATGAAGAGGGCTATAGGAAGCTTATTGATCAGAAGAAAGATAAGCGTCTAGCCTTCCTACTATCACAGACGGACGAGTACATCGCCAGCCTCACTGAAATGGTGAAACAACACAAACAGGAACAGAGGAAGAAACAGCAAGAGGAAGAGAAACGGAAGAGAGTTAGTATTATTGATTATTATATGTTTATCAGATATTAATACAGAAAGGATAAATAACATTATATATCTAAATAGTAATCTTAGACCATATATATAACCACTAGAAGACCCGGCGAACTTCGTATCGCCCTATAATCAAGAAATATCTTTTATGTTTTTTTATTTATATTTTTGGAGTTTACCTATTAAATTCATGAATCTCCGTGTTTTGAAGTGCGACAGAATGATTGACATATTAGTTAGTTGTCAAATCTAATGTCAAAAAAACGTTTGTATCAACAACTATGTACTAATAAATTAAAAATTAATTGAAAAAACATTGTCGAACGGACAAAATTGTGAATCTAAACCTTTCCTAGATCCCCTAGAACACACACAAAAAATTTCATCAAAATCGGTCCAGTCGTTTGAGAGAAGTTCAGTGACAAACACACTTACAGAAGAATTATATATATAAAGATAAGGTGTACTAATGCATAATTTTTGTTTTAGAAATCACGCAAGAAGAAGGTCTTGGAAGGTGGAGAGATAGATGCCTTGGATGATAGCTCACAAACATCTGACTCACGAGTCAGTGTTATGGACCCTAAGAGTGGAGAGGTACATATTATTATATTATAACAAAGATTAATAAATTCATATACACATGGCTTACAACAAAATTCATTAATAATTTTTGCTAGTTTCTTTAAGCCCTTCCCTAATTCTGACACTGAAATTTTATATTTGTGTATGATAGTTACACAGTACTCATTGTACTTCAAATTATCCTATTATTGTCATAATACACTTAACATTAAACTATTTTCATATAGAAATTACTATGAAAATTTAACTCTTCACTTTTGTAATACTATTCTATATTCTTGTTTACTTCATGAACTTTATATTTGTATATTACTGATATATATGTATGTAACAGGTACTGAAAGGTGAAGAGGCACCGTTGTTGTCTCAGTTAAAGGACTGGATGGAGACACATCCGGGCTGGGAAGTATTGTCAGACTCGGACGACTCTGGAGATGACAGCCAGGATGAATATGGTATATATATTAACTGTGCTACTCATATACATATCTTTAATTGGTTACTTCTCAATTATAATATTATATGCTATACAATGGTTTAAATTTCTTAGAGAGATTAAATAATAAAAAAATTCTGTCATGATGATATAATTCTTATTTACTACAGTTTCTTATAGAACCCACTATTCAATGACAGTAATAATATAATATTTAGTAGAAATGAGTGCATGTTTTTAATATTGTTTCAATATTATATATGTAGGTCGTAAGGGAGGTCACAAGGCTGAAAACAAAGAGAAGAGTGAGGAAGAAAAGAATCGCGAGTTGATTAAGAAGGCTAAGGTTGAGGACGACGAATATAAGACTGAGGAACAGACGTACTACAGGTGTGTTCAATATACTTATACCTTTACATATGTAGAAGTAGTAAAATAATATAAATTTTCTTACAATTATATAACATCAGAGGTTTTTACCTTCAAATTTATTTTATACGTATATATGAAATTTGCAGCATCGCTCACACTGTCCACGAGTCCGTCACAGAACAAGCTAGTATACTTGTGAATGGAAATCTAAAGGAATATCAAATTAAGGTATGAAAAGAGCAATCATTCATTATAAGTATTTACTTTTTATTGTAGTACTACAAGAGTATTGTTATTTCCAGGGTCTTGAGTGGTTGGTTTCTCTATTCAATAACAACCTCAATGGAATTTTGGCGGATGAAATGGGTCTCGGAAAAACTATACAGACTATAGCATTGGTTACTTACCTTATGGAGAAGAAAAAAGTCAATGGACCATTCCTCATTATTGTACCATTGAGGTAGGCACTATTATAAACAAAGGGTGTAACATTCTTTATATGTACTTAATAACTAGGACGAGTGGTCTAAATTTTAAATAATACATCACTTTTTATCGTGTTAGTTGTCACTAAAACTATAAAAAGCTTATTAACACACATTTTGTTTTCGCTTCTAAATAGACTTTAAATACCAATTACATTAAATGATTTGTTATGTCTTACTTAGTAATATTAAAACAAGTGATGTATGCCTATAATAAAATTGTAATATAGAAACCCATCAATTAACAAACAAATCTGTTTTTCTAGTACACTTTCAAATTGGGTGTTGGAATTTGAGAAGTGGGCGCCGACGGTTCAAGTGGTGTCATACAAAGGATCGCCTCAATCAAGACGACTCTCACAGAGTCAGCTGAGAGCGTCCAAGTTCAACGTCCTCCTCACTACATATGAATATGTCATCAAGGATAAGAGCACATTGGCAAAGGTATATTAAAACAAGCTTTTTTTAAGATATCCTTATTAATATTAGAGTTTCCGTAACTACGTAAAATATGTGATTTTTTTATTTAACTAAATGTTTCAATTGCTTTTCAACACCATGATCACAGTGTAAAATTCAGCTAGTAAATTTTCAAAGATGTCGTTATATGTTCTTATTTGGATTACTTTCATTACTTTTCTTTTACATTATAACTTTGGTATAGTGAATAGAACAAATGATTATAATAATTTAAATGAAACTAATATTTTAGCATTTTACTTCGCGTTTTATTTTTAATTAGAAACTACATACTCCCTACGTTTGTCATCTCGTCTGCCCGTGATCACGGTTGCTGAAAAGTAACCGAAACGTCGGCAGTATGTAGTTTATAATCAAAAATAAAACGCGAAGTAAAATCCGAAAATATTAGTTTTATTTAAATGAGTGCTCGCGAAAATCTTAGATTTCATTATGATTATAATAATAAGGGGCTGTCCATTAATCACGTGAGGCTTGAAAGGGGGGGGAGGGGTTTGATAAAAATCACGAAAATAACACAAGGGGGAGGGGGGGTGTAGTAAGATATCTCGTGTATTTATTTTTTCGTCTAACGCGCGATTTTTAAGGAAATATTAAGCGGCACGGCGCGGCGTGTAGTGACCTCGACTCGCCGTCCAGGCAACGGATGATATTCCTATGATTACACTCTTCGTTTATTATTATTGTTATGGCAATAAAAAAAAACTTGCAACCTGGTGTAGACATTTTTATTATGGTCCTTAATTTCAGAATAAAATAAGATTATAGTTTATACCTGTATTTAAATTAAGATAATATTCAGAAAATTTTAAGATTCGTTGTAGGTATTAAAAATACACGTGATGTTGAGAAGGGGGAGGGGGGGTGGTCTGAAACCTCACTACGTATCACCAATGGGAGCGGGGGGGTTAAAAAATGCTAAAAAAAGATCACGTGATTAATGGACAACCCCTAAACACTAAACCTTGTAATCTTTATTCCAGATACACTGGAAGTACATGATTATCGACGAGGGTCATCGTATGAAGAATCACCACTGTAAGTTGACCCAGGTGTTGAACACTCATTACGTAGCGCCTCACCGACTGCTGTTAACTGGTACTCCGCTGCAGAACAAACTTCCTGAACTGTGGGCGTTACTCAACTTCTTACTTCCATCCATATTCAAGAGCTGCTCCACTTTCGAGCAATGGTTCAACGCTCCGTTTGCTACAACGGGAGAAAAGGTATAAAACATTTTTCTACGTAATTCGTATTAATTATGGTGTCTATTGTGATTTGAGACACCAGAAATTATAGGAAACAATCTTTTCCTAATACTTTCCTTGATGTTTCTCTCGTATTATTACCTTTCTCTTTTAGTAATATTGTGTGAAATTAAATATTTGGTTCAGATATAAATTACAATACATATTTCCTTGCATAAATTTCTCTCCAATGAACATATTGTACAACTATCCATAGATCGACATAGTAATCCATAGATGGCATATTAATTAATATGTATATGTTTAAATTCTAAGGTTGAATTGAATGAAGAAGAAACAATACTTATCATCCGTCGTTTGCACAAAGTGTTGCGGCCGTTCTTGTTACGACGTCTTAAGAAGGAGGTGGAGAGCCAGCTGCCCGATAAAGTGGAATACATCATTAAGTGTGAGATGAGCGGCCTTCAGAGAGTACTATATAAGTAAGTTTAGACTAAAAAATTAGAAATAAATATGTACACAGTAATTTTTTAGAACATGGATCTATAGTCTATACACTAATGGGAAAATTAGAGACTTAAAAAATAATATGTTAAGCGATCTTTGAAAAGATAAGGTCGTGTCGGAATAAATTTTCAAGTACAACTTTGTAATTACTAATCCTTAGATCTTACAAAAAATATATTTAATTTCACTTATATTATGGCCTATGATAATTTCATTTCAAGACAAATGAATCTATGTCAAATGTACTGATACTTGACAAAAATTTTCAGACACATGCAGTCGAAGGGCGTGTTACTGACTGACGGCTCTGAAAAGGGCAACAAGGGCAAGGGCGGGGCGAAGGCTCTCATGAACACCATTGTACAGCTACGGAAACTGTGTAACCATCCCTTCATGTTCCAACACATTGAGGAGAAGTTCTGCGACCACATCGGTACCGGCGGAGGAATTGTCACAGGGTAAATATATAGTTAATCTTCTTCTTCTTCTATCTGGCAATTTCCCAGCTTTTAGCCAGGGTCTGCCTTACATGTTGTGAATAGTATTGGCTATTTGATTTTACGACCGGCCGCCTGCCTGACATCAACCCTCTTTTGGGAATCAGCATTAATCAGTGATGTCTAAATACTCTTAGAAAGTACATATGACTCGGAAAAATCACATTGATACTTGCCAGGATCGAACCCGCGCCCTCGTGCATGAGAGGCGGGCCCTTTAACCACTAGGCCACCACTGACTGTATTATTAATATATGTTTAATATTTTCTCAGACCCGATCTATACCGTGTTTCTGGTAAATTTGAACTTCTCGACCGCATCTTGCCTAAACTGAAACAAACTGGTCACAGAGTGTTAGTGTTCTGTCAAATGACACAATGTATGACTATCATCGAAGATTACCTGTCTTGGAGGGGATTCCAGTATCTGAGGTGAGTAGTGTAGAGTTTATATGTATTATATTATTGTTTTATATAATTTAGAATATATTATATGTATATTCTTGTTATTTAGGTTGGACGGTATGACGAAAGCCGAGGATCGTGGAGAATTGCTGAAGAAATTCAATGACGTGGGGTCTGATTACTTTATCTTCTTGTTGTCGACTCGCGCCGGAGGTCTGGGTCTCAACTTGCAGAGCGCTGATACTGTTATCATCTTTGACTCGGATTGGAATCCACATCAGGTATATGGAAGATTAAAAGTTATTTAAAGATTGTACTGACTTTGTGACGTATTATTATTGAATACCATATAGTAAGATTATACATATATATTTATGTTTCTTGTATAATACATAAACTTTAAATATTATATATATTAAATATCAACAGGAGTTATGAAACATTAATTGTCAGAAACTGTACATCACTTTGATTTAAGGTTGTATAAGATTGTCTTCTCTTTCTGTAGTGGTCATTATGTGATATAAGTGAATCTAATAAACGTCATTATTTCAACAAATTCTTTAATTGTTGTAGGATCTACAAGCACAAGATCGAGCCCATCGTATTGGACAGCGAAATGAAGTGCGTGTACTACGTCTCATGACTGTGAACTCTGTTGAAGAAAGAATTTTAGCAGCGGCCAGGTGTGTACACAGATATTAAGAGAAGAAATTGTTTAATATGATTTTACGGTTAAAATAAATTGTTTATTTACAGATACAAACTGAACATGGACGAAAAAGTTATTCAAGCTGGTATGTTCGATCAGAAGTCCACGGGATCTGAACGTCAACAATTCCTGCAGAGCATTTTACATCAAGACGGGGATGATGAAGAGGTCTGTTGTTTAAAATATGATTTTATGGCTGAAAAATGATTAAGAAATAATAATTACTAATAATTACTGATAAATTTTATATAGGAAGAGAACGAAGTGCCAGATGACGATTTGATCAATGAAATGATAGCTCGCTCCGAAGAAGAATTAGAGATATTCAGACGGATCGACCTCGAGCGTAAGAAGACTGAGACACAGTCGAGACTCATTGACGAGTCGGAACTACCGGACTGGCTCGTGAAGAACGATGACGAAGTTGTGTGTAATAAGGTTAGTTATATATAGATATTGTTATATTACTGTGACTATACAACAATCATACGTTACTTTAGTATATGTATACACTAGCTTTCAAAAGTCTGGGATAAAAACTATCCTATGTTCTTTCTCAAAGTCAACTTTATATCTGTACCAAATTTCATTAACATCAGTTCAGTGGTTTAGGCGTGAAAGCGAAACAGACAGACAGACAGAGTTACTTTCGCATTTATAATATTAGTAGGGATATACAGTTAAGTAGGAAGTAGATATTATCGTAATTCTTACTTAAAGGGTCTCCTATAAATAAATACTTCTCTGTTATTATTTTGTGATAATCTGTTGCATGTTATATGTTTTTTAATAAACTTCTATATAAATATTTTAGGGTCAAGGTTGGAATTATCCCGACGAGGATGAGACACTCGGTCGCGGGTCGAGACAGCGCAAGGAGGTGGACTATACTGACTCACTGACTGAGAAAGATCTGCTGCAGGCTATAGACGAAGATATGGACGAAGAAGATGACGATGACGATGACGACGAAGTGTTGGATAAGAAGAGGAGGCGGGGGAGGAAACGACGGTGAGCATACTATATAATAATAAGTTTAATAATTCTGGATTTACCACCACTCGCATACATCACAATGCAAAAAGCTGCAATTCTGAATACCTGCCGAATAGTACGTAAGTTTTTGGAATCCGATGAGGTGACTGACTGTACTGACTGACTTTTTTTCCCATCCCAGAAACACTTGGTCAGTGACCCGCGTGACGGTAATATCTGACCCTTTTGTTAGGGAGATATAGGAAATAATAATAATGTTTATTTATCCCAAACACATTACAATTGTATACACATTAACATTATCTGATCACAATGCATAAAGGTATTATATGTAAAAGAAGTCTACTGTCCCTGAACTAGGTATAAACCTGTATTTCAGGCGACAGTAGGTACTTATATATACATACATACAGTTTCACATCTCGTCTGCCCGTGATCACGGGGGCTGAAAAATAGCCGAAATGTCGGGAGTATGTAGTTTTTTACGAAAATAAAGTCGCCTAGTATATTCTGGAAAATATTGATTTCATTTATATGAATAAAACTTGTGAAAATCTTAGATCTCATTCTATATACAACTCTTGTATATGTATAAAAAGTATTGTATAATTATGTATATACAGGGTGACTGGTGAATTACTATCAATATTTAAGGAGCATACTCGGTACATGATTCTCATCCGAATTATGTAAAAAAAATAGGTACTTAATTTTTGACCAAATTTCCGTATAAATAAATAAAGTGTGGACACGTTCCAAGTGTGGACGCGTATGGCGGCGTGCTGATACAACGCTACGCCGCCGCACGCGTATGTGTGTGTGTGTGTGTATACCTAATCTGTAGAGTGTTCACACGATGCGTAATTAATTACATAACTTTTGGTTAACTTTACTTAGAAGTTTATTAATATTTATGTTATATTAATTTTTATTTTGTCATATATGATCATCAAATATCACGTCCTCAAGTATCGATAGTAATTCACCAGTCACCCTGTATATATAATACTCTATTGGCTCACAGAATTTTTATGTGTTCAGGGTCCATTTTTAAATACAGTGTGAACGATGAAACTGTTATTAGCGTTAAGTATCTCAATATTATGACTCCGTTTATCAAATTTTTAGCAATTTATTGGCCAAAATAACTTTAGAATAAAAAGTGATGACTGATATGTATATAATCAAAATAGTTGTAATTATTGATTTATAATGTTGCTTGATCTATCATCCTCATTTGCTTTGCAGACGAAATCAAGATGATTCTGACGAAGACGAAGTGCCGTGCACCTCGAGGAGAAAAAGCAAAACAGAACTTAATCAGCTCAAGAAACGTTTGAAGAATATTATGAAGAAAGTCATTGATTATTCTGATGAGTGAGTTCTGAAATAAATAACTAAAACATTAACTAAAGAATAAAGATTATATATAAAAATTCCATATATGTGTTATATTTAAATAAAATCTTTTATTTTCATAGAAATGGTCGCGTACTATCAGAACCATTTATGAAGCTGCCGTCTCGCCGTGAGCTTCCCGATTATTATGATGTCATTAAGAAACCGCTCGACATCAAGAAGATTATGAACAGGATTGAGGATGGAAAGGTGAGAAACTTAATTCATACATAAAAATAAACAAATTCTACATAACACTTACTGTTTTTGTCTTATTTACAGTACACTGACATATCAGACTTGGAGCGGGATTTCTTCACTCTGTGTGCAAACGCTCAAACTTATAATGAAGAAGCGTCTCTTATTTACGAGGACTCTGTACGTTTACGGAACGTTTTTGTAGAAATACGACGACGCTATGACAGCGGTCAGAACTCTGACGACTCGGATGAAAACGATAAAGGTATTTTACGAATCTAATAACAATTACATTTAACCTTACCCCTTCTTTATATACATCATCGTCATAAATCATCAGTCTATCAGAGCAAACTGTCGCACAAATGCCTCTTCTCACGTAGAGAAGGTTTGAGCATTAATTACCACACTTGCTCAAGACGGGTTGGTTATTTCAAACTTATAATTGTGAAATTATAAGTCCACATTTCTTCACGATGTTTTCGTTTACCGTCAGTCAGTGATGTCTAAATACTCTTAGAAAGTACAAATAACTCGGAAAAATCACGTTTGCACTTGTCACGTTTCGATCCCGCGTCCTCATGCACGAAAGGCACCTTTTTAACCTCTAGTTAACAACGACTTCATTCTTTATATACATACAAATATAGGTGTATTAAATTATTTTACAGATGACGACGATTCCGATGGGGAATCAAATCGGTCGGTTAAAATGAAAATCAAATTGAAGAACAAGTCTAAGAGCGCACAGTCCAGGAAAGGGAAGAAACGTAAATGTATATCTGACGACGATGAGTATGAAGATGATTAATTAATCAGTGTACTAAGATTATTGTAACCCAGAATTCTCTTCATAAACTAACCAACACATGTCACTAAAGCACGTTGTACTACGATTTTTATATTACAATAAGTATAATCACATCCTAGTGACGAACGGTTCCAAAATATATTTGATTTTTATACACTTGACATTGAACAGAACAATTTATACTTTGAAATCTCAATCAAATCATTAACATTTGTCAGTATGACTATATAAAAACTAGTAGTTATATTTATATGTACCCATCCTCAAGAGATACAAAAATATAACTCTAATAGGTTTAATATTTTGAATTATTCCTAAGCATATTACGTAGTTAATTTCTCATTGTAATAGGACTACTGATTAAGTAATAAAAACATGACCTTCAACTTGGATTACTCTGTAGGTGCACACACTTATTTGACTATTCCAATGAAGCATATTTTTCCTATAATTATATATATCATATGAGGTTTCAGTTTTATTAATAGACATACAATTAATTTTATATAAATGGATTGTAGAAATCATTAGCTTAAGAAAATAAAATAATATAATAGAAATGGTTGTTTTATTTTAAGACAATAGATTAAGGTGGCTTCTCTTTTCTTGATTCCAATAATTTTAAATCTGCCCATTTATAATCAACTCCATGGATAGTATGCATGTGTTTGTTAAGACTTGTACTGTGAGCAAACTTTTGCTTACAAGTGGGACAAGGAAATGGTTTATCTCTTGTGTGGACGCGCATGTGACGTTGTAAGTCACCACTCGTATAAAAAGATGCAACACATGTTATGCATTTAAATAGTTTCTCCCCGGCATGCCTGAAACATAGTATTAAAATATTATCAAATTATTTAACAGATTTAAATAATTTTATTTACAAAAACATACCTTTTTAAATGTATAATTAAATTCCTTTTGTGGCGTGTTGTATAACCACAAGCGTGACATTCAACTTTCCTTTCATCAACATGCTTTTTCTTATGATTGAATAATTCAGAGCTTGTGATGAATGTATCGCCACAGTCTTCACAGTTGTAATTTCTTATATTGTAATGGCGATACATGTGGTCATTTAAAGACTGTCTAGATTTGAGTTGCTTATAACAAATTTCACAGGAGAACTGACCCAAATTATGAACATTGAGATGCTTTTTTAGTGAAAAGGCATGTTTAAACTGTTTACCACAAGTTGAACAAGTGAAATATGTTGTAGTGCTGTGCGTTTTGAGATGTGCTGACAAGCTAGATGATTGCGTAAAACTCTTCCCACACTTGCATTGATATGGACGATCTCCATTGTGCCTCCTCATATGATTTACTAATGTTTGGCTGTGAGGGGTGCTGTATGAACACTCGGTACAGTAGTATCGACGGTTGGCTCCAATTCCTCTAACTGTTCTCTTTGTGTTGCTTTTGTTTGATAAAATCGGAGGCTTATTTAATAAAGATTCACTTTTTAATACCTTAGTATATGTACAGGGATTTAAAATGTCACCACAATCGTTTATTTCTTTACCATTCAGTCCAATTTCTGAAAAAACAAATAATATTCAATGAAAAATTATGATCCATATAAAGAGTTGCTGTTGTTTTAATTGCTCGTTCATGTCAAATATCCCACAATTTTAAAATATTTTTACCTGAACATTTTGGACCATTCTCGCAAATTGCCTCCTGTGATTCTTTCATTAACCATGATGAATTCTGTTCTTCATTAACTAAATCATTCTTATAGTTTTTCTCAGATTTTAAAAACGTTTTATAATAACTGTAAAGTTTAGCATCAACAGCAATACATTTTAAACGAAAATTATAAGCTATATTTATTTCGGTAACGCACTGTTCACAAATTAATGAAGGTAAACAGTTGCCTAACGTTAATTTTATTTCAAAACAAATATAAATTTTATTTAACAAATCTACATTGTTTGTTTTTTCTGATGGTGAGTGTTCTGTTTCAATTTTCTGTAAGCATATCCTGCACATATTTAAAAGATCAGTCTGTACTTTACTTGTAAAACTAAAATCCATTATTTCAACGAACAAATAGAATCTATACTTAAAGCTATATGATTGCTTTTGTTATGGTCAATCTTTATTTAAAACTTCAGATAACACTCCTGACTATTTATTTATTTTAGTACCTATTTACTGTTTAATATACGGCAATTTGACATTTCATTAGGTATTGTCACTTGTCAAAATCAAATTTATGGTCTATGGTTTTTAAAGACACAAAAATACGATAGGCTTTGTCTCTTCACCTGTTCTGAACGGAAGCATCTTGACCGAAAAAAAGGTCTGATTTTTCATCTAGTACAAAATATTATGTATTTTAATTTGCATAGAGAAAATTCAAATATGCCATTAAACGTATTTAGAACTTCACCCCATTAAATGTTATTAACGTAATCATCCATTAGAAATATTTTTACATTCAAAGAAATAATTTATAACCCATATCTCGAACATTATAAATCTGTGACGCTAACATGCATTCAATTTGAATTTATAGTTCTATTGAGGTATTATTTCCCGACCTAAAAATATTATTCTTATTAAAAAACTTGACTAAAGAAAATCGAAAAGAGATAAAAAAGGTAATAATGTGATATGTATCAAATAATTATATATTTATGGTAAAATAATATACAGTCTTATATGCTCAATGGTATTTATTGAGAGCTCTTTATGCTTCAGCCTGGAGCCTCTTGATGAAGGAAGCCTTCTTCTGTTTAATCCTGTTCTTCCTCTCAGCCAGCGTCAGCTTGCGCTTGTTCCAGCGTTTCTGTTTGGCCGGGTCCTTCTTGCTCTCCTTCTTCTTGTGAGAAGGATCCGCACGGATTAACTCATGGGCTTTCTTGTACAGGCTCTCGATCTTAAAATAAAAACAAAATTAATGTTATACATATTCTTTTTCTACCTGGCAATTTCCCAGCTTTAGCCAGGGTCTGCCTTACATGTTGTGAATAGTTTTGGCTAATTGTTTTTACGACCGGCCGCCTGCCTGACATCAACCCTCTTTGGGAATGGTGTTAAATTAAATAATGTTATACATATTATTTATTATAAGCAAATAATCGCTTTTCTATGTATAATTAATAAAATGTTGCAATCATGTTTGTCTTTTAATACAATTTTTATATAAGAAGTACTTTTATACAATTTTTGCTTTAATTTTGTCCAACTTCGACACTGGCATAAAATTAAAATTATGCAGTAATTTGTTTGGACGTAACAATACTGTTTACAAATTCTTACAGCATCAGCAGACACTCCGAGCTTGATGTATTTTCCGAATTGTCTCTTGAATGAATCTTCATCTTCCTGTTCCAGATTTTTCATGTATTCTGCCACATGAAGACCAAAGATGTGAGCCCTAAAAAAATATCATAAATAAGCATTCAATAATAGCAATTACCAATTAACAGAATTCAATGGAACAGTTTGAGTATAAGAAATTGTCTTCAAGGTCGGTTTAAAAAAATTCTAGGTAAATTTCTTGTCACAACCATAGACCTTGATTTTTCCTTTTGCTCCAAAATTGGCTGTTCGATGAATAGAGGTTCTATTTACCGAAGGATGATAGGAGCAATGTGAACTGTTAGATTCAAGATGATCTGAAGGTAAATATTAATAAAATTCCTGACTGACTTTGTGATAATAGTTATTCAATAATAAATGGCCTTGATATTGGAGACAAATGAGATGAAGGCCTGGTTTATTAAGTTTTGGTTAAATATTAATGAAGAATAAATCAAATCCATTAATGACAATGAAAAATAATAAACTGAAGTTACAAGAATATGTTGAGGTCACTTTTACTTGATACAGGACAGACGTGATACAGATTTTACATAAGAAATAATAGTCTTTCTATAATTATTCAATACCCACACTGTTTCAAATAATTTAAAGACTCAAGAAATATGACCATGGTTAAAAAATTTCACTATATTTTAATAAGTTTTCATTCCCGAGAACTGATGTTTATACTCCTTAGGTATTGAACTTAAATAATTAACTAAAGAAAGTTATGTGCAACACAAAATGAAGAACATGGTTGTTTATTTGACTTATAATTATTAATTGATTATTTGGCTTATAAAGTCTCTATTGAAAAAAAGAATGGGTTAATATATGTAGACTAAAATGTTGCCACATGTTGTTTAGGAAAATTTACAGTATTCAATTTGTTAATGCTTATATTTAATGTAAGCATTACAGAAAAAAGTATCTATGAAAGATGTGCAAGATTAAAATGAGAAGAGATTAATAAATAACATGCCCTGAAGTATCTGATAAATTCAAAACATGCCATAGATTTAAAAATGTGTGTTAATATGTATTAAATTTTGCAACCATAACTCAAAATGTTCGCGCTATATTTTTTCACTTAAAATTTATTATATAATTTTGAAAAATAATTAGTGTGATCACCACGCATATATCTGTATAGAAATAATGAATAAAAATACCTGTGAACCTCAGCATTGAATTTCTTTGCTTCGGCATCAAAACCAGGGAATCTCTTAATGGAGTGGGGAACATTGAGGCCACCATCGACAGCACCCTTCATGGCCCCAAACACACGGGCACCGGTCGTAGTTCTTGCAAGACCAACATCCAAGTAACATCTGTAATAATATTTATTAAATTAACTTTCTCTCATTAACTTGAGTTAAACTATGTAATGATAAGATTATCAGTTAATTACAATGCAACATATACACAAGTCCCTTAAGATGTGGTCAGTCCGCCCGTAATATATCATCATTTTGATACAAATTTAATATTAAATATTATAATGTTTATATTAACCTGAATGCACCTGGACCATTGTCTACGGGTTCTACGTTGAACTCATCACCAGTCACTTCGGTGGCTCCTGCATATAAGGAGTCGAGCCCCAGCCTTTGGAGAAGACGCCTGGCTACCAAGAGACCAGTGCAGTAGGCAGCGGCATAGTTGGTCAAACCCACCTACAATTATGACTGTATTAGAAACATAATTATACTGGTATATAGATTATAGAGCAATAAATAGATATCAGAATTGAACATATAGCAACATGGGGATTGCATTTGTACAGTGCTTCAGACCGCCCGTTCAAAATCATCATTTAAATTATTTTATAAGTAAGAGAGGAGTATGAATAAGGTTTTAAACCAACCTTGATACCATAACGAGGTAATTCATGTGAGTAAGCTGCGCACACGATGTGGTCACCTTCAATGCGAGAGTAAGCAATCTGGCAGGTCACATCCTTGTTTGAGAGACGGACAATGATGCGGTATTTGGGAGTGTTGTATTTGTTCTTGTCCTAAAATAAGTGTTAATATTCTATTAATTTAGGTTAATCTAATAATTTTAAAGTTTTGTGAGAAAGTACATACCTGAACGATCAGTCGTTTACGTGCATAATAATCAGTTTTTCCCTGGCGACGCCTCTTGAACTTAACTTGGTAACGCTTAAAGTATTGCTTGTTCTTCACCACTTTCACGAAAGCCTACAATGAGAAATATCCGGTTTAGTAACTTGCCAAACATACGTGCACGAGTGAATGTCTTAACAACGATATCAGAGACACTTTATAATCAAAAATATTGCTTCTGAATACAAATAGATTAAGCAATGCACATAAAACATGGCAAAACCAATCACGTTTGTATCATAGGCAACATCAGATGACGCGCATGTGTCGGTTTCTCATCATTTAGGTTATAAATTAAATTACAGTAATATTCGCTCACTACACTTGCTTCTAGATAATTAACGCTATATTTAATAAACATGAATGCAGTTTTCTTACAAAAGAGCAAATATAATAGAGAATAACAAGACCAACTTTAGATGAGTGGATGGACGTTGCGGTTTTTATATCAACACTTATCCCCGAGATCTTAATAAATACCATAGAAATAACATTTTAAAAACAAATATTGTGTTGTAATAACATCACTTCGAGTATTATTTTATACACATATCTCACCATTTTAATAATAAAAGAACAATCCTACACCTCGGTTACTCCGATGACGGTAACCGAGAAAAAGGGATTCTCTTTGCAAACACAGATTAAAATAAATTGTATGACATTGACAGGAGGTTTGGAAATAAATAACTTATAGTGTACAAAGTGCCGAAAAATTAAAAATCGCCCAAATATTTTTTTATAATTCAATGTAATGCAGCAAATTCTTTTATAACACAAAAAAATATGACTAGGACTTGGAAAAGCATAACAAAAGTAATAACTTTAAACCAAGTAACAGTAACCCTTTCATTGACTATTTATGTCAGGGTTAGAGAAGTAGTTAAGTGAAGTATTTAAAAAAAATAATATTAAATATGAAAGAGGTCTATTTAATAGTTTTTACCCTAATACATAATATGGTAACAATGTTATAGTAGATTTTCTTTTTGACTTTTGTCTGTGGTTCGTTATGGCTTCCTCTTATTCATATCCTGAATTATTTTTGGCGGGTTTTATATTTACCTTGCCTTTTTTGTATGAAAAAAGTAATGTTTTTCGATATTACTTAAAGTTTTTCCTCTATTATGCTTATGTCTTGATAACTTGTACCATTTTATTACCAGTAGTTTTATTATATCCTCGCGACGTTACGAACCTAATGTAAGTTATTGATTATTTTGACTGCGCTAAAATAACTTACAAATTTATATATTTCTTTTATATTACAGAGTAGCATCCCGTTTTTGCCGCTATGCATCCCACATTGTGGGAATCGAATGGGAATTACGGGGTTTGGAGAATTGGGATAATGAACAATGTTGTATCGTAATTTCTAATCATCAGAGTTCTTTGGATATTCTGGGTTTGTGAATATTTTGTATTATTATAATATTTTATATTTTTTTTAGAGTCTATAATATATTTTTTATTTTATAAGGTATGTTCGAAATGTGGCCCCGAATGAAACGTTGCACAGTTGTCGCTAAAAGACCGTTGATGTTTGCTGGAGCTTTCGGTTTTGGTGCTTGGTTATCGGGATTAGTATTTATTGATAGACTTAAAACTGAAAGAGCTCGCCAGTTAATGAGAGAAGCCACTGCAAGAGTTATTGATGAAAAGGTATTACTTAAACACTTCAATGTTAAATGTACTCAATGGCGTAATTTAAATTATATTTTATTTCTAGACGAAATTGTGGATATTTCCTGAAGGCGCTCGTTTCAATAAGGGAAGTATACAACCATTTAAGAAAGGAGCATTCTATTTGGCTATAGATGCCCAAATTCCAATTATGCCTGTTGTGTTTAGTCAATACTACTTTCTGGATAATGAATCAAAGACCTTTGAGCCAGGTAAATTAATAAACACAATTACATAACATTGCTTTAATAAAATTAACTTATAACTAATGACTTACAGGGAAAGTGGTAATCACAACTTTGCCACCAATACCTACAAAAGGATTAACCAGGAATGATTTAGAGAACCTCTCTGATATGGTCCGAAATCAAATGATTGAAGTGTTTAATGAGAGTTCAAAGGATCTGGTTAAGCAGAAGAAGATTGCAATTTAAAAAACTTTGATCTTGGAGACTATGATTTGCTTCACACGTTAACATCATCACATTTGTTACCTACCTAGTGACTTCTGCCAAAAATATTAGTTACCATTATTATTAAGTGTACATGTGCTTTAAATAAATCGAGCCTATTAATTTCTAGTCATTATATATTTGTTATATTTGTGTTATGAGTTTTAAATACACAATTATTCAATCATTTTATTGCTAGTCAAGTAGATTGATTATAATGTTTTTCCTCTATTTGTTATATAATATTATTCCTTAGATATTTAAGAAATACTCCATACAATTTTAAAAATAAAGGCATTATGAATAATGTAGTGTGTAATTATTTTTACATTGAACTTATATTAACAATATTAAAATAAATTATGCATCAACTTACAGCCTTAGATCTAGAGTATGCACAGGTGGAATAAAATATATTAAATTTATTTAATATATGCACTGCACATATTTCTTTGATTATACATATACATTATATGGTAAAATCCTAAGTCCTATTCATTCCAATTTTCCCCCCAATCTTCATTGTCATCACTACTAGCTGGTACAAAATTAAGTTTATTACTGATATCTGGTATCTTTTCCACAACAACTTGTTGTTTTTCAATAACAGGCATCATGTCAGCAAAGTAATCAAAATCATCATTTTTCTTAGAAAAATCATTCTTTTGATTTTTTATGTCCAATTCTGATATGTCAATAATATTTCTTTTAGCTTCTAAAGCAGCTTTCTGCAATAACGCGGAATGTTTAGAAGGCTTAATGTTTTCAACAGTCAAATCACCGATAGTTTCTTTCTTTTCCATAGAATTGTTTTCTGTCGTTATCTTTTCTTCAGTAAATTCAATGTTTGTTGATTCAATCTCTTTCATAACTAACTGCCTGTTAGAATTATCCCAATCATCCCAGTCATCTTCGGAATCTACTACATTGTTCTGTTCAGGAACACATATATTTTCAATTTCTAAACATTCACCACCAACGGGAGTTGGTCTTTCATTAAGCGCCATACTTTCTTCGTAATTACTTAATTTTCGTTCAGGAAATCTGTTTTCGGTAGTATGAAGGTCTCTTAGTGATTTATTTGCTAAATACAAATCATTTTCTGGTTTCAAATGATTTGATTTAGATTTAGGTCTGCCATCGGTGAAAAATTTGGATCTTTTGCCACCCACTACAGTGTCTGCTCCTAATATAGGTACTAATTCACTTAAACATATCAATGTTGATGCAACTAGACTGTCATCTGTGTCTTTGATCCCAAGAAGTAACTGAAACACAAAAAGTTTTGGATATTTTTATATACAAATGGCAACGTATAAATAAAATGTATTGAACATTTTATCCTCAACCAACCTCTGGTAATATATGATGTGAAAGTTCTTCGTGACTGAACACATGAACAAATTTGTTGAAATGTGATAATAACAACATCCTTATTTGACTGTCCCTCACACCAAACAATTGCAAGAGTCTGGGTTTTACATGTTCTTTGAATACATTTAAACAGAAGAATCCTGTGTGTTCACCATTCTGTACTCTATCTGAAAAAATTATTATTCATTATTAATAAATGTAGTTAAAATTGCTTTCATTAATTTTCGAAAGAATTTTTTCTTTCACAATGTAAAATAATTTTTAGGCATCTGACATATTATATTAAATTTTAAACATACTAGATATGAAGAAGTTCTTATTACAAATATTAAAGGGAAATATAATATTACTCAACTATTAACACCACACAAATATTAATATGACATACTAATTGGGACTGACAGTATTTTTACTTATTTTCATCATATTGTGGTTGTAGTAAAGAATATTTACCATCTTTTGGTTTTAATATGAATGGTAATACATCTCTCCTGGCGGTTGAGTCCAGAAGTGTTAGCCTTGATAATAATAATCCTCCGAGTTGCTTTGCTACAGTAACTTCATCATAACATTTGAGGTTTCTTATCACATTAGCAAAGAACTCACTCTTTTCTTCATCAGATTTAATTGGTAAAAAATTTAAAAACTTATAAATAGATATAAATTCATGATTAAAAAAATTGTCCTTAAATAGTTCTGATAGTTTCGGTCTTTTTTCACAGTCTGGATTTTGAAGATTTTGTTTGCAATAATTTGTAAACTCTTTTAAGTGCGGTACTTCTCCTGAAAAAAAAAAAACAAAATTAGAACCTTCATGCAGTTTTTAATTCTAATTGCTTATAAGCTGAAATTAAAATAGGAAGCATTAGTATGTGTCCATTAATTATTATATGCTGAAAATATATAAAATTTCCGTACCATCACTACAGCCTTTGAAAACATCATCAACTAGTACAGCAAAAGCATATTGGTCAACTTTAGAGTTCCTTTCAGTTGCATCTTCATTAGGATCAACCGCTTTATCATATCTGAAGATGAATATATAAAATTATAAGATAAAATTAAGTATGTATTTTGTAAGTGAATATATTTTATTACCTGTGTATCCTGGCATGTTTCAAATATGCTGCATTAAGTTCACTGAAGGGACAGAGATACTGCAGGCCGCCTAATTTCCACTGACCATCACCCGATACATAAATTGAAGATACACTCACATTATTATGTGACATACCAGCCTGTAACATTATATTTTCATATAAGTTAACAATACCTTAACAAATGCTGATTTGTTAAACTAAATTTTAAATTTAATATTGTATTAATTATTCATGTTATTTGGAAATGATTAACCTCACCTGATCATGAAGAAAAACTAATGCCCGAAGAATGTTGTTTAGACCTATACAAATTTGTAAAGGCGTCTGAGAACTTAAAACATGTGAAAGAGGCTGTACATATTCAGTGGCAAGATGAAAAGTAGATCGCTGTTGCCATGATGATATGTATCTCACAATACAAGGGTGTCGGTATTTCAAGAGATTCTGGAAAAATAAGATTTTTGTATGGTATAAGTAATACTATCTATTTATGACATCCGAGACAACGAATCAATTTTGAGAATAATAATAATAATATATGTATCTTTGAAGCAAATTAAATTTAATTACTTATATTAAATACAGCACAAATTTAAACTCACATTGGAGAACTTTTCCAGTGGACTTGATATATTCCATAACGGCCCTAAAACTGTTTCTCCTTTGAATACTGATACTGATCCATCACCTTTGAAACTAAAATATCTACAACTATCCTTAATAGTAGCCTGATAATGTGACCAAAAATCTGTAATTTCTGTCGCTTTCTCTTCTACTTCCAAACCATTTAGTTGGGAGTTCTCGTTTCCCATCATAGAGATTAAGTTTTTGATTCGACCCCAATGAAATTTTAAAACATTTTGACATGTATTTATTAATTAATACGTGCCTGCCTTTTACTTCTACATTTGACATAAACCTCCTGTAAAATTATCAAACACTATCTTTATGACATTACTATTAAAGGGTTGCAATAATTTTTGGGAGCATTTATATTTTGTGAAAGAAAAATGTACAACTAACAAATATGGTGGTTAATATTATTTCAATCCATTTGTAGCAAAAATAAATATATTAGTGATACTATCCAACATATAAACAAACTTTACTATAGATTTTTTTTTAAATCTAACCTATCCTTCAGCTGTCTTAATTTACGATAAATATGTGTGTCAAAGTGACACTCGCCACTAAAAAATTGTGATCATCTTTTACGCGAAAAATGGCTTTATCTTTGGTGAAGAAAGCCATTTTAGCCAATCCCCATTCTCTCCGCAAAAATGTTGGAGTATTTTGCAATGCTGCAAGGAACCGTAAGTTTGTAATGCATTCATGAAACGAAAAATATACATTTTGTTGTGATTGTTACGTCATAACGTTTTCAGATTGGAATTATCAATACAAACCCGGTCCCTATCCTAAGACAATGGCAGAGAGGCAGGCCGCGGCAAAAAAATATGGTTTGAGTATTGAGGAATATCAACCATATCCAGAAGAAATGGGATATGGCGACTACCCAAAACTGCCTGATATTGGTGCCGATTCCAAAGATCCTCACTATCCCTACGATTTACCATACTTGAAAAGAAATTTTAATGAACCTGTAAGTTTAATTTCATCCCAATGAGCAATTCTATTGAGATTTAATTAAAATAATTTTATATTATATTTCAGTTTCATGTCGCATCCGAAATTATTGGTGAAGATCGATTTAACATAAGTGTCAAGCATAGGATTCCATTGTGGCAACAATGGACCTGGTTTTTGGGAGTTATGTTTGGGAGTTACATGCTGTATAGGTATTTGGATGATTACAAAATTGGCAGACCAGTTGTCGCTAAGCAATACCCACAAGAAGGGCCACATTACATGTTCTGCCCTAAATGAGGTTTTATATCACATAAAGGAGAATGTGTAGTGCTTATATGTAATAAAAAATAAAATTTGTTGATTGTTATTTTATTAGAAGATTCAATAAACTAGTACACCTGTCCATAAATTATTTTTAATTAAATCATGTACATCTATGATATGGTATTTAATATTAAATAGATTTTATTTACCATTAAAGAACCAATGAACGCTATTTAAGACTAAGCATCTAGAATTTATGTAAATTATTGGCAATAATATAGTATTTATACTTTTATTATGTTGTAATGAGTAACACAGGCGAAGGTAAATAAAAAAAAAACAATATTTATGTCACAAGATGTATCTAATCTGTCCTTTTCTTAATTCAATACTTATAGAACTACACACATTAACCCCAAAATTATTATAATACATTTTCACTTACAAAAAATTATTGATATCAGTTGTTTGACTAACTATCTAAACAATATTGCTTAACGGTATTTATTAGACATTTTCACTTATATATGCTGGTGAAGTATTCATCTTCTAAATCATAGAGATCAGCTGCTATGTCATCCCGAAGCGACATCAGTTTTTGGTCACACTCCTGTTGTTTTGTCCGGAATAATTTTGAATTTTGTGTAATTGCTTCATTAACGGAAGGGAAATCATTTAGTATTAAGTACTGTTTAATGTCTGATACTAATTTCATCAGAGACTCTCCAGCTCTAACTGAAAAATAATGTTTTATTAATTGAGAACAATCTTCATGACATATATTAGTATGTTTTAAAGTTAGATATAAAATTTTACCAATATTTGCAGCTCTCACTTGCATTTCAAATGTATCTTGTTCTATTTGTGTCATCCTGTTTAATTGTGATTCGTTTTCACCTTTTGCCAGTTTTATTATTTCTAAAAAATAAGAGTTACATTAAAATTACTATCAAAAATAAGTACGATAAGATTTTTTCAGTTTATTCTATAGAAATGACTTACCTTCAAAATTTTCCAACATACTTTTAACATCTTCTTTAAGACGAGTAGTATAAGACTTTAATAAAGCTTCTTTATTTTGTGGTAAGTTTCGATGCATTTTATAGGGTTTTACTAAATATTAAAAAATTAAACTATTCAAAGAAAATGTTACTGCAATTTTTTTTATTAGCAGTATGCGCTGCCTTTGACAGCCCTTTAATTCAAGTTATTTCTCGTACCTCAACACTATAACATTTCTTCTAACACAATTATTATTTATTAGTAGTAGATATCACAGAAGTTACAAATAAAGATGCTGTTTCACAATTCAATTCTTGGTTTCTAGCTGTCAAATTGACACTTGTGTTCTGTCAATTAGTTGAGTTGTTTTTTAATATTCGTCCTTCAACATAGACTAAGATTTCAGGTTACACTGCCATTATTCATTATATTTCTATGCTTTTTGTAATTTTATGTAAATTTAGTAAAAAGTTCACAATGTACAGTTTTGTCTACAGAATTGTATACAGGTCTCAATTTGAAACTTATTTGAGTTACCTAAGAATACTTCTCATTTTCATCATGCATTTCGAAACGATTCTATAACATTAAGTATTCAATAATTTTAGATATTAGTTGTAAGGATTTTTTTCTTTTGAGAATAAAAAGAATCTATACTAATATTATAAAGCTGTAGAGTTTGTTTGTTTGTTTGAAAGCGCTAATCTCCGAAACTACTGGTTCGAATTGAATAATTCTTTTTGTGTTGGATAGTCCAGTTATCGAGGAAGGCTTTGGGTTATATAACATCACGCTACAACTAATAGGAGCAAAGATATAGTGGTAAATGTGTAAAAAACGGGAGAAATTATTTCATCTTTGAAGCCTTCCGTTGCGTGCGCCGTGAAAACGGTTCAAGATACATAAAAAATATGTATTAAAGAATAATAGCTCTTTTAATGATCTAAAAAACAGTCCGCGACAGTATATGTCTATCTTTTAAGATTAACTCCCAAAACCCTTTTTTATGGTACCTAATTTGGTCGAAATAATTTGTTTAAGTTGTATAAACATAATAATAATCTTTATTCAAATAAACAAATAAATATGTTGTTGGTTAAGAGTACTTCATTGTGAATAAAAAAAAACATAGGTTTCATCCTGAAAATTCTACGGGAACTCGACTATTCCGAAAACCCCGCAAGAACGGGAACTATGTGGGAAGAACCAAAAATCTGCCGGAAGTCACTATTCTAGGCGGACGAAGTCGCGGCAAAAGCTAGTAATTTATAAGGAAGTAAATGAATTTTATTCCATTAAAGAGAAGGAAAAATGAAGTCTATCCTTATCGAGTATTTAAACTATGAGCACGTTAAGGGTAATAGTAAGAAATTAGAATAGGGCATTCTTATTATGGACTCGTCGAATTGAGAGTAATTTTAGGGAGGTAGTACAAGAGAAGGTAGGTACAGGTAGAGATTTCTTAAAATGTTAATTTCAGTACATCAATACATGAGCAATGAAAACGTGGTGAACATCATGAATGTTCGAAAAATCTCTCACGATAATTGTATGGCAAGCGACGAAGACCAAAATAAAAAGTCTGTAGCTGCTTTTGGATTTTGAATGAGTAGGTACTTAATATACGTATACATATATAGGTATAAATCATTAATAATGCCTAGCATATGCAGAGCAAAAGCATAACTTGAACCTGAACATAAAAAATAAGCTTATAATTTAATTAACAAATATAGGAGATTGACGAAACGTACGTATAAATATCAAAGTCAAAATTCCTTTCGGAATTTGGGGACGAAAAGTTGTAGAAAAATCGAATGGGGAGACTCAAATGAAGGGAGTAATAGCATCTTTACTTGCTATTTCTGTTATATGAAAGGTATTTAAAAATGAGTCCTGACTCCTGGGGACGTGCTTTATTTTAGATATGACACTAGTGACTGGTTTTATAGAAATTAAAAAAGATACCTACCTACGAATTTGTGTTTCTTGGAGATCATTTTTCATCTGTGACAATGTATTCAGTCTATAATGGATTGATTATTCACTCAAAACAAATTTCTTTTACTGATATTACTATCCTTTATATGTTATACTAAATTTTTAGGATACGAAATCCTGAGGTAGATACTTATGTTGTTAATTATAAATTGTAGTAAAACATTTTACTTAATAATATAGCGTTCAGTTGTGATTTATAAAATAGAACAAATTAAATATTTTTGTTTATTTATTACTTTTTAAAACTCCTGGCTATTAGCAAAACGAGCGTATTCCTTCAGTCTCACTGCATTGATGTTAATAAAACCAGTGCTGTCTTCAGGAGAGAATCCACCAGCAATGTCCATGGAAACCAATTCCTGATTGTACAAACTTTTCGCACTTTTTCTTGCCAACACAATAACTGTAAAAACAAAAAATCATTAATTATATTATAAAAAGCATCAAAAAATTGCTAACATGACACGAACTTAGTTCATGATATATTTGTTATAGGTCTGTTCTTACCATTCCCTTTGAAGACTTGGACTGTAACAGTGCCAGAAACCGATTCTTGTGACATTTCTAAACACTTCCTCGTATATCTCGCTTCGGGGGAGAACCAAAATCCATTATACACAAAGTCTGACATTTTATCTTGAAGGTATTTTTTTAACCTGTAATAATATTACATATACATATGTTATCGATAAAATCGTGTGTATTTTATATAGAGGTACTAGAAAACCCGGCGAACTTCGTATCGCCCTATAATCAAGAAATATCTGTTACGTTTTCTTATATATATTTTTAGAGTTTACCTATTAAAGCCATAAATCTCCGTGTTTCGAAGTGCGACAGAATGATTGACTTATTAGTTAGTTGTCAAATCTAATGTAAAAAAAAAACGTTTGTATCAACAACTATTAATAAATTAAAAAAACATTGTACAGCGGACAAAATTGTGAATCTAAACCATTCCCAGATCCCCTTGAACACACACAAAAAATTTCATCAAAATCGGTCCAGTCGTTTGAGAGAAGTTCAGTGACATACACACACAGAGAAGAATTATATATATAAAGATATAGTTAAATATTTAATAACATTTACCTTAAAACTTCCTTATCAAGAGCATAAGTCTCCAAGTCCAGATGTGCAACGTGAAGTATTGTTCCCGCCGGGGTCTCATAGAGTCCTCGAGACTGTAATAAGATATAATAATATTTAGGAATCAAATGCTGTATTTGCATTTTAATAATAATAATACGAATTCTTTCAAAAGTATTTTCCATCTATGTGTAAAGTACCTTTAACCCCAGGAAACGATTTTCCACTATATCAATTCGACCGACGCCGTGTTGACCGCCGAGTTTGTTTAACGTCCTCACCAAATTTAGAGGATCGTTTATAATAAGAGCTTTCTCTTGACCACTGGGAATTTTGACCGATACTGGCAAACCTGTATTTAATAATAAAAATAAACAAAACATAATTTCAGCAGAATATTACGTTTTTATTAAATTAAGGATTCTGCAATTATAGAAAGGGGGCGTTCATAAAATACTCAAGATATTTAAGGGGGAGGGAGTCGAGTCAAATATCACGTAATTTTTTTCTGTATGAAACACATACTACATATATTGGCTCTTTAATCCATAAAAATTGTAGGTACATATAAGATTTAATCTTAAGCGTAATCGTTATACGATGAAGATCATTCCCTAATTCGTAAAAAAAAATTATACTTCGACGTTATACATTTACTGACTGCGAAGCCACCATCCCCCATGAAAAAAAATCTCACGTAATTTACGAACGGCCCCAAACTACAATAAAACAATGTTATTAGACTGTTTAAAAAAATCTGTGGTCATGGAAGGTTTTGAATATATGCATTTTATTTCACCTTTTTCGAACGTTATATCCATGGTGCTCGGATAGTCCTCAGCTTGCTTCAGATCGCGAGTCATTTTGTAAATCCCACTTGGAGGTTCCGCTGCGGGGTCTTCTAGTACTCCCGATTCATAACTGTCGAGTTTGCAAAGTTTTACTAAAATATTTTCATTTTCGACATTGTATATGTCATACGTATGCATCTTTATTCATACACTAATAGATTCGATTTAAAAACAAGTTATGTTGAGGTAACACTAAAAAATCTCTCTTACAACTTACAGAGTTATGAGGGATGTTTATGTTTATGAATGCAATATTAGGTGCTTTAACGAAATTTAGATGAAAATGTTTCGACTTTGATAATAATGTTTACCTTTCATAGAATTAGCTTCAACGTTCATAAGATATGGGTGCAATTGTCTTGATAAATTTAAACAGATGTTATGTTTGAATAAAGTATTTTTGGAGCTTATACCTGATATGCATAATGTTTTCATCAGTTGACCATGGGGCCTTCGGTGTAGCGGACACCGGTATGTTTTCTTGTTTAGCATATTCGATTAGATCTTTTCTTCCTTGAAATCGATTAAAGAATTCCGGTTGACGCCAAGGTGCGATCACCTGTAAAATGACCAGAATTTTTATACTTTTACTATATATTTTAATATTGATAGAAAGCAAATTTTTCAGTTATGTTAGTAGTAGGTACCTTCCCTTCCGGCCACAACGAATATACGCTCAATTCAAAGCGTACTTGATCGTTACCCTTGCCAGTAGCACCATGAGAAATATATCTGTCAACATATTTTGGAAACTTAAATAAGTTTGTGTCATATTTTAATATAGGTAACTTGTATTTACATATTCATAAACTCATAATCCCAATGTAAACATAAATATTTAACTAGTCACGAGACTGTAGTGGTTATTTGTAGTAAGCTAAATAGGTTTAAAGTATTTATATATAAGATAAAGGTGATTCATACTTGGCACCCAATTTTTTTGCAGCATTTACTATTCCAACGGAGATGCAAGGCCGTGCCACCGAGGTCCCTAAATAGTATCGACTCTCATAAACCAGACCCATCTGAATAGCGGCAAACATATAGTTGGAGACGAAATCGTTGCGCAAATCTTCAATTATGACCTAAAAAAGTATCAAAGACTGTAAATTAGTCAAGTTTCCAAAATATGATATACTTAAGGATCCCTAATACTTACATCCTTTGCTCCTATCAGTTTTGCTTTTTGGCGTGCCTTTTCGAAGTCTTCGTCTTGTCCAATGTCGGCCATGTAGCAGACGACATCGTAATTTTTTTGAATTAACCTTAAAAATTATATTTTTCATTTATTACGTTATAAATCCAGATGCATATTTTTTTAAAAAGATTTTTTTTATTTTATCTATTTCATTTCAATTGTAGATTTAATTGAAGGTTATAATTTAAGTCGTGAGACTTATTAAGAATATTCTATTTGTTCTTGAGGGATATTGTTTTACAAGTGTTGAAAATCTATTCCACATTTTAGAGCAAAATTCAAAACATTCAAATCAGGAATGAATTCTGTCTGAATTAGCTATGAAGCTGGACAAGAAATTTTAAATGTTCTATACTTATGCTTTTCATTGCCTGGTAAACTTATTAAGTTTTTCCGGTTTTCATTCAAAACCTATCAATGATAGAGTATAGATAATGTGACAAGATTTTTGAAAAATAAATTGTGAACGCTCCATAAGTAGTAAGGATAATAAGTTAGGCTTTGAATACAGAATATGAACTGCGAACAATGATCTTCACGACTAGTCGATAAGAGAAATTAGCTAGCTAACTCTACACTTAACTATTTAGGCAGGCTCTGTGATGGCATCGTCAGAAGGTTGTTAAATATCTTAGACAAGGTATCCAAGCTAAGCAACAATGGTCCCTTATTTTTTTTCTGAAAGCATTAAGCCTAGGAACGAATTAACTTTATTAAAAGTCAGCGAACTATATACGACGATAAACCATACTGAGGACCAAGCTCGTTTATTATTGGAGATAACAAAAAATTCGCTTTCTGATATTACACTGTGTTTTGAATTATTGTTAAGGGTATACGGTGATTATAGTCGAAATTGACTTAAGAGAGTTTGTGGAGTATCAATAAAAAAACTTTTATGCAGTAAAAAACTTAGTAGTTTCTGAACATTTAAGTATTTTATTTTTTACTCTTCTTTTTGTAGAAGACATTGAAAATATTGTTAAAATATTTGCCAAAGACCTGTTTAGATGAAACTTCCATGAATTCTACGAGGAATTGTACATATTTGTATTCCGATTAGCCCTAGGCTTAATAATACTAGAGGAAATGTTATTATAAAATATAATAAAAGAGTACGAAAATATGATAAAACAATCTATTTGTCACTGTTTCATGTCAAATATTTTCTATGGCTAAAATGTTTAAAATAACTACAATTGTAACATACAATTATATTGGAAAAAGATTAGTGTTCGATATGGTATAGTCATAGAAGTAATCAAAGTTTTATTGAAAAATATTTTTATCATTTGCTAGTTACAGGTTTTTTATATGAACCAAAGGGACAAATAGGCAGACGGTTAACCTGTTTTAAAGTAGTCACCGTCGCCCATGGACAATATGGGTTGGTAATATGAGATCCATAGCACGGATGTGTATTTATTGTACTTCAGCACTACACACATTTCTTGTAACACAATAATAATTAGTGGTAGATATAACAGAAGTTAATAAATATGCTATTTTATAATTAGGTATATAAGTAATGCCTGAAACTGGACAGCTCATTGTCAAAAGCCGATTATTCGCTCTACTAAAACATAATAATAATATAGGAAAACAATTTAATTATTAATATTTTTTAATTGTTATAGTATTTTCTTATTCATTTCGCTATTTATCACTGAACTTTTACAAAATATTTTTATTTTTGTGAAAAATGATAACTGTCTCACCATTTTAATATACAGCTGGTGTCCAAACCGCCGGAGTAGGCTAAAATAACTAGATCTCTACTCATTGTTCCGATCGGTTCAATGTTCGGATGTGTGATACACTAGCGACTGGCTCTCTTTTATTTCACTGAATCTCATGATAACCTGCGAGGTCACAGTATATTTGTTATATATTAATGTCACGAGTAACATTAAGATACAACAAATATTTGAGATATACTATATTTATGAACAATCGGTATTACATAGCGTCCGTATAGAAGCCAAGATAACGTTTATTTACTATTTTATCAACACAGTATTTATATTTCGGTGAATTTACGGGTTTTTTTGTACTGTAAGAATAATAATTGTCTTATATCCAATCACGTGGAATATATCTTAATGGGTTTTTGTCGCGTCTTTGTTTGCATTTAATTATCGAATAACTCAATATTAGTCGTGAAAATATTAAGAGAACTAAACCATATATAATAAACAATCAATTATATTATAATATTATACTTTTTTATAAAAAGTAATTACAAACAAATTGTGAAATAAAAACTTCCAAAATACTTAAAAACTACCAAATAAGTCAAATACATTGCAAAAATGTCTTTAATTATATACTTTTTTGTTACGCTTTATAACCTCCTTTATATATAGTTCGTGTGCCATTAATTGTATGTTTATTTCACACAAGTCACGTTCAATGTACAATTAATATTTGTCATATAATACTAAGATGAAAATCAAACAACACTGACGAATGAAATGTTTATTAAGTTTAACAATACTGAACGATTAAAATATGTATGATAATAGATTAAAAAAATGCATACATCCTATGTAATTGCACGAACATGGGCATCGATAACCATACTAGTTTATATCTCACAGGTCAAATTCTATGAAAATTATTCTTAAATACATAATAATTATATAGATCATATCATTTCTGATATGTTTATATGCCAACTATCCATACTAGCTATTAATATATGTTTTCCACACAGACCTTTATAATTCAAGTGAATATTTTGTAAGTAGTTAATATGGTTCAACAATTTATATAGAGGGCGTAAATAACTATATTTCCTATGGAATGTAGAGAAAACTATATCAACTACCACACATACAGTATTAGAATTGATTGTTTACATCTAAAAAATATATTGCTATGTATTTTTCAACAAATTAAATTTATTATGAAATTTCATGATGAGGAATTACATTGGGTTAAGTACATAGGAAGTTTCTCTAGTGTCAAGCAAAATGTTTATTTGATGGCCTGCAATATTCGAAATTTAGAAATCTCTAAACATCCAAATTCAATTTATATATTTGTTTCATGCCCACACTTGATTAAGTTCTAGCTTTTGGCATTAAAGCAATTTTTAAACTTAAAAATAATAATACTAATTATACATATTTAAACTATTAAAATCATTCCCAAAATAACAACTAACAATCCGAAATATTTAGAGGATTATTTATGTATAATAAATAAATAGGTACAGATATAGTAGTTCCAACTAAAGTACACATCAACATCACTATAAGTCATATATTAAATATTCCAAAAAATCAACAATATAGACACTGCTAAATGATTATAACATTGATTCATAGCAAACTATATCACAAACAATGTATAGGATAAAGGAAAAATAATTTAACGTACAGTTTATAAGCAATGCTATTATAGAAGTAGTACTATATAATATGGTACTTAACACCAGCTAAGATTAACCAAATAACATTAATTGGGGTGAAATATTTATGCAGTGAGAGAGCTGAGATCTGAAAGGAAGTTCTCCGGGATGAGGATGTGAGATGAACCGATTATGACCTCCCAGTTCTTAAGAGCAGCTGTCACTTCGTAGGCGCAACGAATCTCGGAGAAACAGACACCTAGAAACACACACACATACATACATTTGCAATATAAATACTTATACATACATATATATACTAGAAGACCCGGCGAAATACGTATCGCCATATAGTTTTGATGCTAAGAGAATTCTAGCAAATGATAAGGGGAAATGATGTTTACAAAATGAGAGACGCTCATATTGTTATTTGTTTGTGTGACCTTGATCCTATAAATAAATTAATGTCCAACTTTAATATAAATAATGTTTCAATTTTTATATGCCCCTCATGTTTTTCGATCTTGTGTTTTGGTAAAAATGACTGACAATACTAGAAAAAAGTGTAAATTAGAAGCTGCACAAGACTCTTTGATTAGTATGTTTAGTTTAAGTCTACATCACACTAAATACGATGCTTTAACAGTTTTACTCATACATTTTTACACATTATATGTAGTATAAAGTATGTATGTTATTTAATGAGAAACGCGTCGTATGTAGTGTGAAAACTAAGAATACTTAATATATGAAATTATTTAATATCTCACCTCCGACCACGAACACGATCAGACGTGGAACGTTCTTTATGGTTTGTTGTGCCTTATCCTTATGCCAGTGACCGTAGCGGACGCTGGAATACAACATTTCATTATAACATTTAAAAAATAACATAAATTCTCATGATATATTTTCAATATATGTATAACCGGATTTAACTAGCTAGTTTTGTATGATAATGTTCGTGACATAATATATATCAGATGTTTGTATTATGAACCTAGTAGGTGCTTGATATCCAGATGTTTGAGCACGACCGGCCAAGAATGGGAAGTGACGCTGGTCGAGCTTATCATCGATGGAATCCTCGATTATGTCCTGGAAGTAGCAAAAATTATAACGCATACCATAATATGGTATAGGTTCCCATATTATTTTATATATTATATAAAAAAAATATGTTCGTATGGGAACCTGTACTGACTTCAATTAGCTTAAGAATTTATTACAATTTTATATCAGATTCCAAATAGCAGGGACCATTAAAAAGTCAAAATTCTTCTAAACTTAAAGAGGAATATCATGAAAAATTACTGTGGCATTTCTTTCTTGAACAGATTAAAATGTAATCGTGAAAACTTGACAGTAATAAAGTCTCAAGTGTTTTGAGGTTGCAACATTATGAGGTATTATTTGTAAAATATTCAGTACCTTGATAACTGGAGTCCATCTTGACATTTGGTATGTCTGTTCAGTGATTCTCTCCTTCCGTGGTACTTGGTACTGCTTCTTCCTATTGCCCTATTGATGTTAACGTAAGATAAGTATGACATTAATTATTACTCCAATGAAGAAAACTAACAATTTCTTAGTACCATCAATGATTTTGCTTATGGATGTGAACTAATGTCAGAATTTCATCAAATTTGGGACAGAGTTTTTTTTTAACTTTGTTGGTCATTTAGAGGAAGGGCCTTAGTTGAACAAAAAAAGACAAATATATAGCGTAGGAAATAAGTACCACACCAAACCAGTTCCAAATAGGAAAATGAAGAACTAACTAGGTCAAAGACTATAAATTGATAGTAATATGTATATAATTTGTACGTACATCAACGACAACGTTAAGTCCCAGGTTGGCGAGGTTTAGCAGCGCCTGTTTGTCAGACGGCTCGAGCTGCGCGTGCGTCACCAGGCGGTTGAGGTTTTCTTCTGATATACCGTTCTTGGACATTATGTACAGCGCGATGATACGCATCTTGTCACAGTTCTTGATAGACTGAAATTAAATCACATATACATGATAAAACTATCCTTCCGTACTTCATGCTAGTATAACACACATATTAATAGAATGTATAACACACACTAGTATAATATATACCTCTCTCGTACACACACACAAAATATAAATGAAAGTTTCTCAATTGAAAACTAGTGAATGGCATTTTTTCAACAACAATAAGGGTAAAGCATCAAAATGATATAGACATTAATTCACCACTTATTTCACTGTAATTCTAAAATTCAATTTCAGCTCTCATTTTTGACGAAACAGTTGAAATTTGAATGAAATCTCAACGTAAGATAGATGGCGCTGATATGTCAAATTTTCTACATTTATTGGGACAAAGTCACAGGTGCTATATAGTATTAATAACGCTATTAGAATTAGCTCCGAAGTATTAATGAGTATTAATTATTTTTATACCACTTTCTATAACTAATAACGAAAAGAAATACTACTTTCATTATAATTTGAACTGTTTGAGTGCTTTTAATGTAAATAAAATAATATTAGGGAAAATGAAAGGTGTTTACCTGATCGAGTAGTACTGGAACGATGCCTCTCATGTGATCTTTGATTTTCTCACCCTCAGCATCTGTACCCATGGCTAAATCCTGAGGATAGTAACATCATTTAAATAATATAAACCTTACACAATTGAAATATGAACTAATTTTAATGAATATATGTTAAATATTTATGTACTTGTATATGTATATGTTTGTGCATATTTATGTATATTATGTATATTTATGTATTTTATACTATGTATATATTTAATTTTTTTCATTAACTTCTGTGCACATCTTACTTACTACTCTCCTACACTATTCTGGGTTGGCTGGTAAAAAATGCTTTTATAGCGTTAAGACCGCCCTTTGTACATTTTTTTGTAAAAAAAAAAAAATTTTTTTTGATTCAACTTTTCTGTATAATTTTGTTATTACACCAATGTATTAAATAAACTAAAACAAAGGTGTAAATAAAATCTCAGCAACTAATGAGTTTCTGGGAGAATTATAATTGGGACTCAACAACAATCGATTTAGATGAATAAACAAATCATTTTCTTTTCAGGTTGCTACAGAAAGTAGGTAGTCAGAGAGTCTAGTTTTGATATTGCAGGAACTCCGAATAAACTTGAGCCATTGGAAATTTCGTCATCATGAAACGAATTGATATGGATTCTATTGCAGTAAGTTTCCATTACTTTTTACAACTCTACTCGTCACGAGATAGGATCGAAAACGCATTGATGTTACTATGTGACCCCAGCTTTAAATGTTAAATGGTACATTGTATCTTCTTCTGGCAATTTTTCCCAGCTTTAGCCAGGGTCTGCCTTACATGTTGTGAATAGTTTTGGCTAATTGTTTCTACGACCAGCCTTACCAACCTGATATCAACCCTCTTTGGGAATGCATTAATCAGTGATGTCTAAATACTATTAGAACGTACATATGACTCGCTAAAATTACACTGGCCAGGGCCAGGATCGAACCCGCGCCCTCATGCATGAAAGGACTTTTAACTACTAGGCGACCATTGACATCAATGGTACATTGTATGTTAGGTCAAAATAATGTCATAATTTACCTGTTCCACTTTACACAACTTGTCCACATATCCCTGGTAAGTCTTCATGCAGTCCTCGGCTAGGCGTAAATGAGTCGCGTACTTCGACAGCTCTTTTTGGTACTGAGGCATTTTCTTTATCATTTGTGATAGATCACGCATGGATTGTTTGTCACCTGTTAGACAAAAAAAAATTAAAACGTTAATTTTTTGCTTTCTTAACTTAAAGTTCACTTCTATTAAATTATTTTTATCACTGCACTAGACTAAATCTATAAATTGTACTCGTTTATAGTTCAATAATCCTACTGATATTATAAATGCTATACCTATATGGACGCAAAGACGTTTCTTGATTGGAGTATTTATATTTGCGATACTGAATCTTAGACAACAGAATAATATGTGGGATATATTTATCGTAAAATTCCGTGTAGGTCTCACTGGATCAGAACACAATAATTGTATACACGACAGAAACTAAAGATGGCGCTGGAATTAATTACCATATAATTTTTTAAGCACTATACACTATCTATGAACCTAATTCTATACATAACGCGTGTAAAGTTGCGTTCAGAAACTATTTTATGAAATAATAAATAATTCTTACCTCCTCCCATACGTTTGGATTCAGTGAACTTTTTGAGGTTCTTGGTGACGGAAGTGGACACGACAGCGATGTGCTGGTGTCTGAGCTCCACCCACAACTCATCGTTCTCATCCAAAAGCACCTCCTTCATATGACCTTGAGATGCCTCGTACCTGAAATTAGTATAAACCATACAAAAAAGTCTAAAAAAACCTAGCTATTTATAGATTTATTCTCAGTAAGCAGTTTCAATTGATACATATATTGCGGAAAGCAGTAATAACATGTCTCTGTAATATTATGCGGGATTAGTGACGTCACTTATCTAAGGCGCATGTATACAGCAAATCCACTTTATAGTTTGTTGCAAGTCCACTCATACTTGTATCTAATTGAAATTACTTATACACCCACTCAAACCTCCAATTATATATTAAGTATGAATTGAAATAACTGACGGACCTAGGATTGCATGTAATTTGTTGAATTGCAGTCATTGATATTTTTAACTGAAGTAAACATACACTGATATTAAATTTCAAATAAATATGAACTTATTTTTGGAAACTATTATATATATTTAATAAATGGAAGATCCGAAAAAATTAAACGTTTGAAATGTTTGAGGTTATTTAACATATTAAAGTACATACATAACTGAGCTATTTTTTTATTTTGTCAGAGCATGGCTAAAATTCTCATTAGACAATACTTCTCAGATTGTCTGCCACTTATTGAATAAAGTCAAACTATTTACTACTGTACTTGTGTAAAAAAGGCTTCAAAAAATGTTATTCAAGAGTAACTGTATTCTAGCAGAATTAACTAACGAGAACCTATTGAATCAAACTTTCACTCTCCTAATAGTAGTAAGAAAAATAACGATGAATGTAATTTAACTTAACAACAGTTAACTGTATATACTTACTTGTACACATCGTTCTCAATAGGCAGAAGATCGTAGGCCATAGCCTGAAGCGTCAGTTCATGCAGTAATGGAGACACGCAGTCGAAGCCGCGGTCTAACACTAGTAGTTGAGAGCGAGCCTTCTCTGGACCCTCGCCCATAGTCGGCTCGTCCGCCTGTTGAATAAGATATATATAATACTAGCTGCGCCCCGCGGTGTTACCTGCGGATTTCCGGGTTGTAAAGTAGCCTATGTGTTATTCCTGGACGTCAGCTTCCTGTATACAAAATATTATCAAAATCGGTTCAGCCGTTTGAGCGTGAAGAAGTAACAAATATACGCGCACACTCACAAACAAATATACAGATACATATTATATGTGGCCATGTAAATTTTGACGAACTTTGTGTCAATGGTCAGAAATAATAAAATAATTTATAATAATGTATGTATTATAATCTTGCTTGCATTATATTATTATTCCTATTTGATAAAAAGAAAATCTATGACGAAATATCCAAGAGGAGAAGGGTTGAAAATTGTAACTATGTGAATTGCTGTCGTAAGTCAATGGGCAATAGTACAGATAGAAAACTTGTTACTTTTAAATTAGCCTTTGGAATTACTATTTCATGTAAAGATTTTTAAAAATATAATACCTTATAAGCATCCAGCTTCTGTTGAATCAGCTGCGCGAGTTCGACATTGCGCTCCCAGTCGCTGAAATAATACGAATAAATTGTTAATATAAAAATTAATACAATTTCATCAGTACAGTTAATTACGAACTCTATTTTACATTTGAGTTCTGACCATATATTCTAAATTTTAAATTCGAATTTTAAAATAAGAATGTCAGCGGATTTTTTTTTAATTATAGAGTGGCCATTATCATTGTACCTTCGATAACGCACGGAGGGATATTCGCCAAGCGTGGCGCACAGAGTAGCAATCTGTTCGGCGATCCGTTCCATGTTGGCATTACGTGTCTGTGTTAACGCCGGGTTGTACATACACTGGAACGTGTCTGGAGAGTCCAGGCTGAATACCTGGATTAAAATATATATATTTATAAGCATATTTAACATTAGCAATAATTCTACAGCTGTTCCAAAAATGATTTATTTCGTCGGCATATACAATTTTCTATCCAATATTTTTTTTCGATTCCATTTTTGAATTTAGAAAAAGTAGTATATTAAATTAAAAAAATATTTCGAATTTGTCAAAGTTATGAACACAGATGCACGAAGTCTTCCTATATACATTTTATTTTACCTGACTCTCGTAAGGTAAGAAGGCAATGTTGATTTCCTTCAGTGTTTTGATTTTTCTAGCGGCTGATGATTTGCACAATTCATTGAACAATTCCTCAGGACACACTTTATAATGGCAGCGTGTAAAATAATATCATAACTTAAACATTTGTCTGTACCGAGGTTTAATAATAACACTTTAATAATAAAGCATATACAATTTATCAAAGCAATGAGGTTTCATGGCAGGTACAACTAGGAACTATGGTTTTAGTGAAATTATTTATCATTCTTTATTTGAAAGCAAAAAATGTACTCATTTATTCCATACACAATACAATCGATTCCTATTATATTGTATTTATACATTTCTTATTTAAATATAACTTTATCATATACAATTTTTTCATATAAACGTTATTCTTGACATTTAGTAGATTTTTTAATACTTTTTCTTCTTATTTTTGCCGACTTCATTAATTTATTAAATTTACATCCTTATAGTTACATTATATACAGTACATTAACATTTTACATTTCATACTTCACGTATAACATTTAATAGAGCCAATTGGTTTTCGTTAATATTCTGTTAAAACAAAAGGAACAAACCTGTTGTTCGTACGGAATGAAAGCTATGTTGATTTCCTTTAACGTTTTGATATATTTAACTACGTGACTACGTGATAATTCGTCAAACAGAACATCGGGACAAGCTGGAAATAAATAAAACAAAAAATGATGCAACTAAAAAATAAAAGCATAATACAATCTAGCTTATTAATAATGTTATATCATATATTAATATGGATTACCTTCAGTGAAGAAAACGTGTGCTGCTTTATACATAATGCGGTTACCGACAGAAAAATCGTTTATGAGAGCGTGAACAGATTTCTCTGATGGTGTGATGAGGTAGATGCCGTCCATGGTGTACAGAGGCTCCCTCTTCTTATGGATGTCTTCAACCACTGGTAACCAAATATTAAATCTATTTTATTTATTTTTTATATGAATATAGAGATTTAAAGATACATTTTCTTATAAGACAGTATGGACTTTGAATTACATAATGCATAGTAGATCTAACAAATGAGATACATTTACTTTATGTTGTAAAAAAAAAATAAATTTGAACAAACTTCCTATGCATTAATTGTCATTTAAGAGGTAATAATATGCCTAAAATGCCTTTCATTATTTTGGAAAACAGCTGATATTCTTATACTGGTTCATATTAACTAAACATATGTAAGATCCACCTCAAGAAAACTCATTTTCAGATAAGAAAATGCATCTAAATATGATATGTTTGAAGCTATGCCACAGACACACATAGAGGCATTGACTTATAACACTAATTATTTGCATCAGGTGTTAATCATGTGAATTGGTTAAGGTGAACAAAATAAGTGGTACATCTAAGTTTGAAAATTTTATATTAATTATATAAGATACTAGAAGACCCGGCGAATTTCGTATCGCCCTATAATCAAGAAATATCTGTTACGTTTTTTTAATTTATATTTTTGGAGTTTACCTATTAAAGCCATAAATCTCAGTGTTTTGAAGTGCGACAGAATGATTGACATATTAGTTAGTTGTCAAATCTAATGTCACAAAAAAAAAACGTTTGTATCAACAACTATGTAGGTACTAATAAATTAAAAATTAATTAAAAAAACATTGTCCAGTGGAAAAAAATTGTGAATCTAAACCATTCCCAGATCCTCTTGAACACACACAAAAAATTTCATCAAAATCTGGCCAGTCGTTTGAGAGAAGTTCAGTGACATACACTCACAGAAGAATTATATATATCAAGATATGCTCACATGTGATTCCCTCAGCCGAGATGTCGTGCATCTTGCAGCAAGCCGACACCATCCTCATAGACAGCTGGTCCACTATGAGGATCCTCCATTCTATGCGCTGTGCTTCCTTCCCTTTGGGTCCGCGATAGCGGATCACCTCGTTCATAATCTCTGTAACAAATTTAGTTTTAATTACAGTTTTTCCTTGATATATTACTTTTGTACTGCAGCTTACTGTATATTAATACTTTTTACTTACTTTTAATACTTTTTAATAGTATTTAAGTTTTTAATATATTACTTAAGAGTGTATCACTTTGTATTTAATTTAACAGTGCTGTAAATGCCTGTAGTGGTGTATCACACTGCACTGGTCCGTGTACTGTTATTAGTTATTACATAAGTATTATTGTGAATATGCCAATGGTGTTTCAAATAAATAAAATAAAAAAATAGACTGACAGCTCAATGAGTGTTTTTATAAATTCAATAATCCTTCCTTTGCTATAATAATAATAATATAGACAAGAATTGTATACACTCCAGTAAAAATGATTTTTAAATGAATTGAAATAGTGCATTTTATACATTAGCAATAAAGATAATTAGTTAACTTGGCGAAAGATATTGGAAATGAGTTTTATAATAAGACTATAGATTTCTGAAACATAATTTGATATTTTTTTATTATAAAATTTTGTATGCAAGCAAGTTTTGGCTTATATTAAATAAGAAAAATAAGAATCTCAGTTTAAGTAATAAAATACATAACAATAACTCTGTGTATAATTTAAAAATTTAATACAAAAAAATGTAATTTGAAGCATTGTTATATTATAATGGGAGTTTGGGATTCATTTTGAACAAATACTTTTGAAACTATTTCATTTCTATTCACAACCAGTCCCGCTTATATATTTTTAAATATGGCTTTGTTACTTAATCATGTGCTAGCTATAAAATGTACTCAGTATAAAATAGGTTGCATTTTCCCTAAAATATGCTCAGCAAAGGCTCTGTAAAGAATGAGTACTTTCATACTTTACCTATATTACAAGTTATAAATATAAAAATATAATATTTAATAAGTCAATTGCATAATCACATAATAGGATAAATTGGAATAATTCATAAATTTTATATATGTATAGTTATAGTTTCACAATTATAAGTTTGAAATCACCAAAACGTCTTGAGCAAGCGTGGTGATTAATGCTCAAACCTTCTCCATGTGAGAAAGAGGCCTTGCTCAGCAGTGGGCTTCTGATAGGCTGATGACATGACATGACATGTATATGTATAGTATTTTTAGATTTTTCATATGATCCTCGATATATTAGAGAGCATTTAAAATTGTTGACTAATGTAAGACTTTTGTGTAATTGTTAAATATGTTTTTTCAATTTAATATTATCAACCAGAAGACATTAAAGCCATAAATTCATTCAACATTACATGGAATTGTGAGTGTTACTATACAGACAGCCAAAATTAAAAAGGTTTTAAAAATAATGTCATGTATAAATATATACATGTTACTTAAATTAAAATGTTATCTCAATCATAAATGGGACGTGGGAGTACTTCGTAGGCGCAAGCCGTGACGTATGTAGGCTATAGTACCCACCCCACTGAGTGACATAAGAAAATCAATAATAAACACCTAGGTCAACTACATGGATATAAATTCTATAGCATGCAATGACTAATCACGGTCAACATTTAGAGGGGACCTAATGAAAGATTATACATTCAAATATATTATTAAAATGTTAAAGTAAAATAGAGAATTGCGAGTTAACTATATTATCAATTATTATATTTTGAAGTCGTCTTATAATTTGATACCACAATTTTTTTTTATAAAATATGATTCTAGGAAGGTTTATTTAATATAATGAACAGTTTAACAAAAATATTAGTCATTGATAAGGCTTCTTCAAGTGATGTTGATTGGCCTACCATTTCCAATATTATTGCAATACAATACTAACTATAATTTTTAACACAATAAAACTGTAATATGTTAAGAAATGTAATGAAATAAATAATTTTTTCACTTACTTTGCCCCACAAGCGCTTTCAGAGCCATTTTGTAAGCACTGACTTTTCTTTGTCGTTTTGACTTTACACAGTATTTGGTTTTTCAGAATCCAGACTTGGGAGTGCCTCTACTTGTCATACGTCAAAGTGACATAAGGAGTAGTCTAGATTATGGATTATAAAAGAGTGTTGTAGAAATGTATTGCATAAAAAAATTGTATCTTACCTATAATAATTTAAACAAGAATAATATCATAAAATTTCGAGTCAACTATTTAAAAGAAACTGAATAAATCTGATTTAATTAGTCTTTAGTGATAAAATTTTAATTTTAAATAATTTTAAATGTTTTGATAATTTTTATTATAAATTTAATATAAAATAGACGTATGATATCATTAAAAATGTTTGTGGTGATTTGTTAGTAAAATAATAACTATGTAATAATATTTTTTAAGCAGTAAGCACCAACAAATAATTTTATATTTTATGCGCGCGCACAAGAGGGTTCTGCAATTTTGGTCGATAATAAACGAAAGGGACATAAAAGTTTTGCTATCTCTTTTAGTTCGAACGAAGGAAGCCGAGTTTAAAAAGATAATGTCTAGCCAATGTTTGGCTGCTCTCAGAACATAATAGTTTTGACATTAGTGAACTGGCGCCTTAGCGGAAACCCATGAGCGAATCAGTTTTTTATGTGCGGGTCTTGGTGACGGATGTGTCAAATCGTTGTTAAAGTGTTCACGCGAACATTTTTGCGGTATTTTCAAATTTAATTCTATATCTTGCGATTCATTTCGGATATAATACTTGATATCAAAATAAAATAACATAACATAACAAATAATTTGTTAAAAACATAATTTGGAAACGTAATAAAAAAATAATATTAAATCCAAATTGTTTCGTTTTAATACTATGATCAAGATTTAAATATTATTTTTAAATACCGTTGCAAATTTTTTTTCATTTCTTTTTATTGCGAGAATTTATTAATATTTTGGTACGATTTCTTCGTCTAAAAAAATTTGTATCTTTAATTCTTCAATTATTCATCTATTAAGTAATTAATAAGCAGTATTCATCCAAGAACAAACTCAAAAGTACAACAACAAGTAATTTTATATTGTTCAACTGAATTAATTTTTTATTGGCAGCTAGTGAAAGTGTGTGGCGATCGTGGAGTCTTATTGTGAATTGGTGAACTGTGCGACTGATTAGTTGCAGTCGGTGCGCGTGTGAATTGTAGTGATGTATGTCGTGGGCGCGAAACTTTCGGCTGTGATTGTTCTAGTGTGATTGTGGCCAAGATGTATCATGAAATTCCCATTGGTATCCCCTTCCCGTGTCGTGCTGAAGGGTGGCTGGATAGATGCGGTAAGTGTTTATGTGTATATCTGTATGTGAACAATGTTATCATGTTATTGTGAGCCTTGTCTTCTATTTATATGCACACATTTGCGAGTTATTTAGGGCGTTTTACGTAAGTGTGCAGATTTTGCAGTGATGCAAAAATGTTTTTTTTGAAACGATTACATTATAATAACGTCAACAAGTTTTGAATTGATTTTTTTTACATTTTTTTTATATAGCATCAAAAATGTATTGAAAAACACGGATCAATTATGAAATAATACTTTCTTTTATTTTGCATACAATGTACATACACATATACATATATAACATAACATAAACATAACTTCACAGTTATTTTACCTGTTGATAACGTAACAACGTTTTTCATTCAATATTCGATAATTATTAATTAGATTCAAAAATATTTATGATACAGTTGTTTTAGGACTTTTTTTTTATTATGTTTCTAAATTTAATGTTTATGACAAAAATTGTTGTCACCAAGATTTAGATACAAAAAAGTATAAAAGGCTTAATAAAGGCAGAAGTACATACATAGGTATGGGTAGGTATAGTACGTCTATATTTTAATATAAATACTATTATATATTTGTATAATCCTTCCTTGTTATCTTCAATAGAAAAAAATACTAAAACTACCACAAAGTTAAAAGGATTATCACATGCAGTTAGCCCTTTCATAATATCGTCTTTATACATCTAGTTCAATGTTAGTCGAAGGAAATCAATTCGGTACAGAGCATCACAGCGACTATTAACCCTACATAGTCTGGTTAAACGTAAAAGTAGGAACTTCCGTTTCGCCTACACATTTTACTCAATCCAATATTTCATTCATAATGCAAGAAATCTTTTTTATTTCAAGAAATAAAATTCCATTGACTTTAAAATATTATTCTGTTCTTCCCTTCATTTTGTCCGTTATGATAAAATCTCCAACATTTTCATGCAAATACATTTTTAATATCAACAGAAAATAAAGAAAGTTATTTCAAAATGATACTGAGTCGTTGACAAAGTTGCTAAAAATAGTGACAATGTTGGAATGAGACTATAATTAATCCGGTATTTTTTTCCCACCATTCTTTTTCTCTACGTACAAAAACTAAATGAGAGTACTGTTTGTAATTTTATTTTTTATAATTTAGATTTCGTTCTCGTCATAAAAATTCTTTGTAAATTCTTTCTTTGATAATAACTGTATTATTTGAAATCGTTTATATATTTATTATTTATAAGTATGGTGGTATAGATGTTTGCTTGATGACGTTCAGTTTGACAGCGTGTATCCTACATACAGTGAGAAGTATACCTACAGTAGTTGTTTTCTACCCAGTTACGGTTCATCAGGCCGATCTCATGGACATGCTTTCTAGTTAACCGATGAAAGTAGTTTATAGGGAAATGTACGTAGTTTTCCAATCACTATTTTTGCATACTCACTTGATAAAAACTGTTTTACTTGTAGGCCAATGGATATCTAGACGGCATACCTAATCAAGCAGATCATTGTTGCATTTTCTTTCCATTGTTATTGTTTTAAATTATTCAACATTTGTATGTTTTAGAAACTTTGCCAGTTAATGACGTCTTTGTATATTTTATACTTTACAAAGTAAATATTTTTTTTCGTTTAAAAAAAACGTTAGTGGCACTTCATGAGTGTAATTATGTTCAGAATGTATGTGTCATTAATGAGCTCATATATTCTTCACTAATTAAAGAGGACTAACATGTAACTATTTTTCATTTCATTTAGATTTACGACGTAGGCGTTAGTTACGCTCTAATGCTATTGACAAGAGAACAATACCAGCAGATATATCTAAGTTACTTTGTAATTACAAGACTTCCACACCCAGCCGCGCCTATAGCTAAAACTCGGAGTAAGCCTTTTAAGTTTCCAAATCCTGAATTGCAAAGTGGTTATTAACAACGAGTTTTACATAAACACATCGGCACACAACTTTCTTGGAGGCGTGATGTCATTCTGACCTCGTGACAGGTGGAACGGTTTAGGTTTGAAAGCACGTCTAACATGTTGATGAAAAAAATCGGAATAAAAAAGATATTCCACCAGCGTGGCATAAACAGTAGCATATATATGCGGATCGCGGATACGCTTAGAAAATGATTTTATCTTGTTTATGTATGGGTGTTTCATTCATGATATTTTAAAAGTTTTTGCGAGATAGAACACTTAGATGTTTTGATATTCAGGATGAGTAAATGTAAATAAACAGTTTTATTTCTGACCGAGGTTCATGACCTGAAATCAATATCTGGCGTATTCATAGATTAAGTCATTAGTTATGTTCAATGAAAAACATAAAACACTTTAAAAGGTTTTATATATATATTATGATTTATATTTCATTACATATTAATCGTATTATATAGTACCAAGTTGACTTCCTTTGTGCCAATTACACTATACATAACACTCAATACTTATCGTAGGTTGTTTGCTTGTTTACAGACAGTTTCTACAAAATAAGGATTCGGTACCAAGGACGTGAACAGCCTGTTAAATAAACTTGTAACTTTCTAACTAACTCATCCGGTCAACACCGTTATCTGTTCCGACTTGTGATTTTTCTCTTTGATTACTTTGATTTGAGATCTTATAAGTTAAAGTAGAATAGTCATATAATATTAACGGGGAGAGAGTAAATGCGTTTTACCAGCGACAGTTTAGACCGGCCCTCGGACTTTCGTGAGCACGTAATTATCTGCCTTCCGGGGATGAATTAGAAGAGTCACTCCATTAGGGCTCAGACGGCATAGCTATAAATCAGGATAACTGCCCGTCGGCATATAGATAATTTGTTATGCGAACTTCCATTTCTAAATAATTTTACGTCGATTCTTTAATTGAAAATGTATCGTGGATGTACATGGAAGTGTAATAATGAGATATATTTCTTAATACAACAAATATATTAGTTATTTCTAATTAATCAAAGCTCATAGCAGAATTTTTGATCAAAAATTGTCCATGTTTAGTTTGAACTACAAACATAGGTAAGTTTTTGATGTCATTGCTGTGTTCTATTAATAATACTGAATTCTGAAAGTGGTGGACCGAATATCTACCTTCTCCCGTAAATACATACCCTATAATAATCAGTTTTTTCGTATGGTACATACAAACATGGACATAATGGTCTTACAAATAAATGACTTATTTCACGTTCTATAGAAATTTTCATCCATAAATTTTATTAGTTTTAAAAGTATTATTAGTTTTCTCTTTATATGAACCACTACAGTATCTTTTTATAGCATTTTTGCTGTCTTTCTTTTTAGTTTGAATAACTCTTAAATAATAGACTTTAAGAGTTAATATAACGGTACTGTTTTAGTTCAGAAATATTTTAGGAGAATAAATATGTACGCATGTGTTACTGCACCTGTCTTGCAACACCAAGCAAATAGACAATGTTCAATATTATGTAATATTTGTAAAACATTTTAAATAAACCAATATAAATTTTATTAAACCATTATCCATAAAGTCAATTAATTTCGAATGACTAAGTGATTTCATAAGTAAATATTTTTCATAATAACAAAATTTATTACCAATAATAATAACTATCTACGTATGTACGTAATGATTTATATAATCATTATTACATATTTGCACAGATAAAGAGAGAGTAGATTTCT